CCCCCCCTTCGGTTATAGATCACCCTACGGATACATCACGGATATATCGTCCTTTTAAAACAACCTTCACTCTCTTGCTTCTGGATTTGTAGAAGATAATGCAAAACGACTTGACCGACTTGCCCATTGGCGGTTGGGACAGGGGCCGAAGAATCGGTTCAGACGCCCTTTCTGCTAACGTGCCTGCGGACAACAGATGGAGAACTCGGAACGATGGACCTTGAGGCCTAAGATTCGAGCATTGCATGACGTGCCGTTCGACACTCGGAATGATCCTCGACAAGTTGGACGAGGCACCCAGATCTCTAGGGCTGCTTTCCTCCTGGAGCATCACCGCGAGTAACTAGGAAGACGAAGAGTCTTCAATGTTGGCTCACTCAGAACATATCACCATGTCTAATACGATCGGAGATGACTTAGATAGCGAACATCATCAGCGCGAGAGACGATACACCCGGAGCAATCTATGAGTGGACAGAAGACCCGACTGGATTGGTTGAAGCCGCCTTGCTCACGATGGACTCCAGGCAAAGGGAGACCGCAGGCAAGATTGTCATACCTTATCAGCACGATCTGGTCAGTGAAGTCATGGCAATCAATAGCAGTCTGCGCGTGTCGGAGCGCTGGAAACTCCCACGGCTAGGAAGTGCTAGGCTGAAGGGCGGCCATGGCCCTGTGTTCCGGTGATGCTTGCTCATGGCGAACAACAAAACTTCACTCTGACCAGTCCAAAAGGCGGATTGTGAGATTGGTCCTGTGGAAATCATGGGTGGATGCCGAGTGACCCTGTAGTGTGGCACTACAAGAACATGGTGGCACGCTGCCAATCTGTACACAATACCGGAATACATCTACGGGAACCGTAGGAAGACCGGTCCATCACCGAAGCGCACGAGAAACCACAGGCGCGGCGACCAAAGAAATTTCAGACGGATGCCACGGCGACACTGCCTATCACTTGGGAGGCCGTACAGCGCACTCGCCGGACTTTCATTAATGATGCGATAGTTATCTTTGCACTCACGGCGATCACAAATTCCTACAACAATCGATACAACAACAAGGCACTCGACCTGCGTCACAAGGAACTTGTCGATGTTTGCTCCAAGAAGCATCATCGATGGAGGCGAAGACCACCATATTACCGTAGCCCTAGCGCTGGTGCCCAGATTACTCCTTTCTCGAGCCTAGAGATCCGCATGGCGGCTTAAGAATATGTGAAGAATCACGGAGTCGCTTGCCAGAAGGCCGCGGTATACATTAATGAAATTCGTCAATACCTGCTGAAAGGTTGTAGCAACTCCGCTAGACTCCTGCTGTCCGTCGGTGTTTGCGATGCTTTCGACTTACCCTATGGGCCCAACAGATCCTCGAGCAGTGAATCGGATCGCCGCCGCCGCCGCCGCAGCGATCGAGATCGCGAGCACTGACCTCGCCATTCCTACCCTTCGGACGAGGACGAGGACGGACCGCGATACGGGAACGACGAACGCTTCCGCCCCGAGGACGTGGGCTTTTTCAACCCCTTCCTCGACGAAAAAGAGTTCGGCAAGGGAGACGTCGTCGACAAGGGCAACAAGATCTACTTCAGGAGCGTTCACGCCTTCATTGACGCCGCCGAGAACGTCGCGTGCTCGAAATTTTCCACCACCATCCAGCAGAACCTGGACAAATGCCTTCGAGGCACCGCCTCTAAATGGTTCATTTCCCAGCTCACCCAGGAACAACGCAACAAGCTGAGAGGTGGAGCGGGCATCACCCGCTGGAGGGCAGCTCCAGCTAGGCGACTCCCGGTCTCTCGTGGCCGCGAAGCAGAGCCCCATCATATACCAGGAACACATAGACGAGAAGTTTACCACTCTTGCAGAAGTATCTACGACAGCATCACACTCATCGGTACCATAAAGCTCAAACCGTCTGATCCTGCTATACATTGTAAACCGTGCCAAGCTACCTCGCTCTAAAACTCTTTCTACCCGGAAGCTGATATATTCCCGGCCACCGTCGTCCGTTGGTGTCTGTGTGGCCGTCTCATTGCACCCTTGCTGCACCTAGCCACATGGTCACGGACCTCGAGCGGTCCCTTGACAGACCCAACAACACCACTCAGGATGCAACTCACCTAGACCACGCTAAAAGCTCGGCTGACCATCGTGCTAGTCACCTGACCAACCAATTAGTCATCTGACCAACCCCACAAACCTCACCCTACCAACCAATTTCAACAAACCTCCACCCACCAACAACGCTTCAAGATAGCTCGCAACATGTTCTGGCTAAAGATGTCCGAGGGTTTCGAAGATCTCGACTCACCTGGCCAGTTTGGCTAGGACTTGTTTCAATTTGGATCTCACCTTTGGACGAGGGATTTCTTACCGATCTAGGAATGGTTATATGCGCGCACGATGTATCCACACTAAAGAGCATAAGGCATACTGACTTCGAATCTACTGCACGGGCGATCCTGAATCCTTTGGTGAGGACATGTCGCATGTCAACTTCGCTGAAAGCGAGACAGTGCCTTACATCAACGTTCATGGAGTCTTAGCCGACCTAGCTTCCCTGTCGCTGTACTCAGCTGTCTGTAAGGGCCAAGGTTCATTGGACAGCGTAGGCATCGAAAGGTCATTACGCTGGTGGGCATCGTCCTTTGAAGATCGTACTAATCAGTGATGCGAAGCAGTGATAGTGATGATGATTGTATTGCGGTTATGTCCACTAACGACGAGGCTTGATACCACTAATCCGGATACAGCTGTATACTTTGTTTTATGACTGTACACCAGCTAGGGCAGTTATTACCCGGACCAACGGCGGTACGGAGGTCATAGCTACAGTAACCGTGCCAAAGAGCCCCATCGACAGGCTCGAGAACGCGGCGGCGCGCGGGTCCGAAACGAGCAGCAGGGCGGTCGCGATGGCCGAGGAGTTGGCGCCGAGCGTCACGCCCCGAGTGATGTAGTCGTCTGAAGAGCCAGGGAGAGTCAGTCTTTAGCCCAAGCATGCATTACTATGTAGCTGCCGTTTGCGTTGACGGGTGACGACGGAGTTACCTTCGGGGATCTTCAAGTACTTCAGCAAGGCTGGTCCGAACAGCACCCCCATGATACCGCTGGTGATACAAAGCACAGCGACAAGACTGAGATCTCCGCCGATGTTTTGGGTTGCCGGTTGTGCGAGCGCGAGCGTGAGACTGCGGCTGGCGAAGGAGAGAGAACGTGCTGGGGCGATGCCGATGGCATGGCAGAAGGCCGGATAGCCGAGTAGAGAGGCAATGGATACACTGATATTTGGTAGGATCACCGGAAGGAACTGCGGGGCGTTAGCGAGAGGGGTCAACAATGAGAGGCGAAGATTCGAGAGGTATCGCTTAAGTAGCACTGGTGACCTACGGCGCGACGAAGTTCGTGTCGGTACTGAAACATGGGCAGGGCGAGCGCCACGATGCTAACATCCAGGACGCTGCTGAAGATATCACCAGCGCCTGGATATGGCAGATCGCCTTTCCCATGCAGAAGCTGAGCGTACTTCGTCTTGGTCTGATAAGCATGCAAGCCATCGTCAAGGCTGCTCCGCCGAGTGAGGGCTAGGACCCAAATGCCGATGATGGTGATGGCGGATGCGACGACCGCAGGGTGTAGGTACCGTCTCCAGAGCGGAGGAAGAGATAATGCCGCGAAGTAAGCCAGGACATTGAGGCAAAGCTGAGCGGGCATCGCGTAGTCGGCAGCGTAGTAAACAGGAAGGCCAATGAAGATGAACATGGCGCTGTAGCTAATGATGTCGAGATTTGCGTTGACGAAGGCCGCCCACGTCTGAGCTCGTGTAAGTGCCGGAAGATTCTGACGAAGCAGACTTGCTGTGGCATCTGATGCGGAGGGCATAGGATCTGCTGTGGGAGGGCCTCCTGTACCGGTAACTTGCGCAGGATCCTGTGCTCTCAGGGGAGCCTGAAGCTCTTCTACGGGAGTCGACATGGAGAAGTTGAATGCAGAGGCCGCTTCGGACAGCGTGACTGTCTCAACTTCCGAGTTGTGACGGCTTTGCGTGAGAGGAATGTCTTCGTCCCGATCACCCAGCTCCTCCGCTCTTTCAAGTAGGGACCGTTTCGATGTACCGAGCAGCAGCTGTAACCCTCGGACAAGGTACGCAGTGAGAGCGGTCATGATGAAGTATCCGATAACTGCTTTCCGTTCAGTGAGCTGTTACGAGAAAACTTGGCTAAGTTCGACCAACTGAAGACTCCGATAATCTTGCCAGCTTCTACTCCACCGATCGGCTGATTGAGTGGAAGGAGTACGAACGAAGGGCAGAACAGGACATTGATGTAACGAAGAGCGAAGCCACCCTAGCGAGAATGAGTGCTCTGATGGTAAGAGGGGAACCTTGCGGCATTACCGGTATATCTAGCAGTGCAACCAGCTTCTTGGTTTTCCGGTCACCCAGCATAGCCTCACAAGCGATCAATGCAAAGAAGACAGCAATCATGCAAGCTACAGAGGCTGGAAAAGAGACTGAGCTTAGACGTATGAGAGAATCCACGCCAAAACATGCGAGTAGTATGGTTACTATCCCAATTGGGACATACAACCAAGAGGTGAGCGAGCGCTGCCATGATGAGCGGGCAATCTTTACAGTCAATCAGTGAAGGTTGTAGTAACATGCACTTGACACACACCAGATTAACTGCCTCTGCGGCATCACGAATGACGCTTCGCGCCTGCGTATCCGACATTCGGGCATTTGGAAGAAACGGGAGTTGGTCGACCGGAGACATCGAGTCAGAGTTGCAATCACGTGGCAGATAATCCATAGGCGTAACCTATGTCACATCGCCAATGGCAGGGGATGAAGTGCCAGTGTTCATCACGGCGCTCTAAATCATGAGGACCTTAAAGCTCTTTACCATCTGCGATTAGCTGCTACTAAGCTCCTATCTTAACTGAACAAAGCCTCCCACGTCCAGATGAAAGGTACGCGTAAGAAGATTGCCATCTCCAGGGTGATGCTGTTTACGAATGCATGATTAGAATCCCCAGTGCTCATTGGCCTAGGATGTGATGTAGTCTTTTCTGAGTAGGATCTCATAAACGACTACCTACGCTCCTAACTGTGCTACACCCCAAGTGCCAGAGCCTACCATACCATGCATCCTCGGAAGCCCCATCTAAACTCCAGACGCCAATTCACCACAACAGTGCAACTAACCGTTCAGGTAGTTCCGAATGGCACCTGGTTAGTCGTTAGTCGTCGTTCTCCCATATACGGCACCATCTGAACTCACCTTGTAGCCTCGTGGCACCCTCACCCAACAAATTGGTCAAGTTATCCAAATCATCGCCAGCCGTGACACCGAACTTCCTGACAAAGTCTTTCGCAGCCGACTCCAAATCTCCATAATCATCAGCTGGGCCCTCATCTTCCGGCCTGCCGAAGTACGCGTTTGAGGAAATTGACGTGGCACCTTCGAAGCCTTGCAATCTCCCCTTAGCCTCAGCTTGCGCCGAGGGGTCGAAGGCGTTGCGGCCAAAGAACTCGTCGGATGAGATGCCTTTCTGGGTACCGAACTTCTCGCGAGCGTAGCGTTCCGAATCGTCTATTAACTTGTTAGTGCTCTCTTTCTGACATCATTCCCGGACCTTGGATACATACCCTCTTGTCCAGCGGCTCTGCTCGTCGATCCAAATCCCATCTTCTTCGGCGCAGCCGCAGCAGGCTTGTTACCGCCCACCTGCCCAAACCCAAGCCGTCCCATTCCCATACCCAGCCTCTCCATCTCGCTACTGCTCCTCTCCCTTCCCTTCGTCGCGCCAAAGCCTGCGCGAGCAGGGCTTACAGGCGTCGGCGCGACAATGTTCGTGTCGACCGCCGCCGGCGCTTTGCTCTTGGCCGTGTTCTCGGTAGCTGCGGCCTCGGCGTCAGGATTGTACCCCAGCTTCTCTATCCGCTCGGCCTCCTCCTTCGCTTTCTTCTCTGCGGCTTCGAAATCAAGCCCGTCGCTCGCGGTAACCTTCTTCGCGCCGAGCTTTGTCTTTTTCGCGCCGAGAATGTTGGCTTTGCGAGGCGCAGCGGTTGTGGTCGTCTTTCTTATGGCGGATGAGGAGACTGTGCGGGGTGCGGCCGGTGCGGTGGCAGATTCGGAGCTTGCGAGCGGAGATTTTGGACGCGCGGTACCATTGCCGTTTGTGGGGGCGTTCAGGAAGGGCGAGGCGGTGCGGCTGCCCGCTGCTGGTGTCGCTGTCCGTGAAGGAGGGTTGCTTGGGCGCTTGACAGTGGGCTTGTCCCAAGACGAGAAGAAGTCGTCTTCCGGTTCGCCGGCTGGTGTGCTTGCGCCAGTCTCGGCTTCTGCGTCGGCTGTATCGGTGATTACGACTTCATCTGGGTATCTGGGAGGTGTGAGTGATTGGGAAGGAACGCTGGCAAAGGAAGCATACTGTCTCGCGTCTGCGGCCACCCGCCTGGCCAGCTCCTCTTTGTACTTGGTGGCGGCGTTCGAGGTATACTTCGTCTTCGGGTCTTTGCTCGCGAGCGCAGCGGATCCGCCATGCGACTGAAAGTACTTGGTCGCCGACTCATTCCCGCCCACTTTCATGATCCTCAGCTGATCCCATTGCCAGACTGAATTCCCAGTGTCAGCCCCCCGTCTGTGGCTCTTGGGCCGGGGATTCTCTTACTGTCCAGATTGGTTGACCGCACAAAGGAGATGTGAACGCCGAGGTTACGGTGGTTCGCCGAGCAGTCGAGACAAAGGTATATCCCAAAGGGCACGGAGGACCATGTGGGGTTCTTTGCTCCGCAGTCGAAACATATCTAGAGAGGGTCAGGGCATGGGATCCGGTAAGGGAGGGTGGGGTGTATGGACCTTGTTCGCAGGTCTTGCCCGCAGCTTTTCGAAGATTTTCTGCGATTGCGTTTTCGTAGCCAGACTCATCTTGGCTGTTGGCGGTGTGAGCAGTAGTTTTATGGAAGGAGGTAAAAGCGCAACTCGAGACCCCGGCGACAATGTGCAAGGTGGTGGTAATGAAACGGCTGACATAAGCCGAGTCAGTATAAGCCTGCGGTCGAACCGGAGGCGCCGTTCTTTAGCGGCGAGCAGACCACACTAACTTTGAATAGCAAAGGACGGTAACTTAAGTTTTCTCAGCAGTTCGTTGCTTCCCTGCAATGGCTTCCTGAAGCATCCCCGACATGACATATGGGGATGCTGAGAACTCAGCTTCGATCCTATCAGGTCATCGATGCGGTAAAACTGCCACCTGAAACCAGTACAGTGTTCTCGCCAGCAACACACGCGCAAGTGCAGCTCTACCACGGCTTTCTATCGGAAATGTGTAGCGTTGGAGCATTGCGCATGGCATTCTGTTAAACGTGCGTCCAGCAGCGGCTCTCCGGATGACGTTAGACTACTAGGCAACGCTCAATTCGCCGAACGTTGTCCATTGGCACGCTACTCGGCCGGGCAGGCATCAACTGCGGTAGCACTCGGCTTTCCGAGCAATCAGCATCACGCACATGATTAGGTCAAACTGGCACCCCGGCCTCTTCTTTGCTCGCCCCAGCCATTTCGGTTTCATCACTCCTTCTTTCTTCGTGCAGTCGCTGCCCGCCCCCAGATCTTTCAACCTACAACTGCATCTTCGCCCATCACAGAAACTGCAGGAGCACCCGCCCGCTTGTGCCGACCGCAATGTTGCCTCTCTCTTGTTCGCAAAATGCGCCAAACGCACGGCAAATTGTCCATATCCTCGAACCAGGCTGCCGACGCAGCATGTCGTCGACTGGGCTGCCGGCTCCGACGTTCCGGCGTACTTGTCAGAACGGTCCAAGCCCCTTTCGGTGGCTAGCGCAACCACCCCCCTGTCCCTCCTCCTGCTTCCCAATTCTCGTCACAATCTGGCTGTGCCATCTCCTCCATTGCGCCCTCTCTCCCACTCGCACCTCATGAACATCGTCGCATCAACTCCACCGCCACGCCATCGCCCTCGGCTCCTTTGACCGCTGCCCCTGGACTTACCGCATGCCATTGTCTGCTTGCGGCCACCTCAAAGATAACACCACCTCGCCTCATCAACTCTCGTCAACTCAGCTCGAGTCGCCTACACGTTCGCTACACCTTACCCAACTGTCGTCTATACCCACCTGCGACAGCACAGTGCAGAGATTCTTCGGTTTTTGGCCTTGAGTATTGTGTTGGGTGCTTCGACCTCTGACGGCTGGACAGAGTGCACAGCGAGAGCTTCCTGGTAGTACCCCTACGAGCGCGAGCGCGACCGCACACGCCTCGTCTCCTCGGTAGCTCGAATCATTCGTCGAACCGGAACACTCTCGAGAAATCACAGCGCGCGTTCGTGCCAAATCGGTACTTCGGACGCCATGCGATTCAGGTCGAGAACGGATCTAAGCTTTGCTCGATCATAGAGGCTACTGGAGAAATACCGTCGTAGTATGACAGACGACCCTCCACTGAAGACGTACGCTGGTCCCCAGCTAAGCTCGGCACCCGCTTACACATCCGGCTCTCCCACTGTTGTCAACGGCCTATCGAACGGGTATTCCCTTCCGGATGGCGCTGTCGAAGACGAGGACGGAATCATTAAATGCATCTGCGGCTACCACAACGACGATGGCAGTACAGTCTTGTGCGAAGTGTGCAATACATGGCAGCACATAATCTGCTACTACGACAAGCATACAGATGTTCCCGACGTCCACGAATGCGTCGACTGTCTTCCACGGCCGCTTGATGCAAAGCGTGCGGTCGAGAGACAAAAGGGAATCCGGGAGCTGCCCAACGTGGGCGACAAGAAAGTCAAACGAGCTGCTACCAAAAGCCACAAGAAGAAGGCCAGAGAGTCCGTGTCGGGTCCGGTGCAGATCAATGGCTGGCCTCTTGGCGACAAACAAGACCTCCACGACACTACGGATCGGAAGACCGGGGCTCCACGCGATTCGCATATCCCGAACAAACGGCCCAAAACCACGCACAAGAGTTCTGGATCAATTGCGTCCGCAACTCCACAGGCACCAACTCATGCCTCTCGCAAACGAGCCACCTCGGTCATTCGGAACGGCCAAAGCCCCATGAAATCTCCCGTCAATTACGGGTCGACGGAGCAGACGAGCGACTACTTCTCTCCCGAGTTCATGCAGTTGTATCGCCAACCCGAGTTCACGATAATCACCGCTAACTCATTCGACAACATCGCTGTCACTGATCTTCTGACAGAATGGCTTGTAGATCCCAACGCCCTGCCGCTAGTCACAAACGGGAAAACTCGCAATGAGATCTTCTCGCGCTTCTCGTCAATGGAAGAGCTGGAAGCCCGAGACCCAGGGCTTACCGTGGAGATCGAAACGGACCAGAGCATTACGAAACAAGGCGTCCATCCAACGTGGCAACTGTTAACAGTAGCCAGTGATGTCCTTGCCGGCGGCTACGTTGGAGAGCTCAAAGGGCAAGTCGGCTTGAAACACGATTACGTCTCATCATCATCCGGACGATGGATGGCCTTGCAACATCCGGAGCCCTTCGTCTTCTTCTGCCCCCCTTTACCGATTTACATCGATGCCAGAAACGAAGGCAACAACCTGCGCTACATTCGAAGAAGCTGTCGGCCGAACGTCCGAATGCAAATACTGATAACGGAGGGAACTCAGTATCACTTTTGCTTCATCGCGAAAAGGGATATCTCGGCATTAGAAGAGGTAACAATCGGCTGGGATCTGATGGAGGACCACCTTCGTCTTCTCAGTGAAGCATCCCGTACGAAAGGAGGAATTCACAACATCGAGAGGGGGGAAGAGATTTCGCACTGGGCACAGGTTGTGCTTGGCGCGTATGGCGGCTGCGCCTGCAGTTTACCGCCGGCTGAGTGTATTCTGCAACGTGTCTGCTTTCGTAACCATGGTTACGTGGCGGAGACTACTTCCCAGAACCAAAACTTAGTCAAGTCGAAGAAACTTCGGAAGAACGGTACGCAGATATCACCGCTGAGCACTGGATGCGCCACCAACAGCCGCGCCGGAAGCGAAACCCTACATCGTATCCATACTGAAGACGATCAAGTAGACAGCCGTTCGGCTTCGGGATCCTCGCATAGCAAGCCTGGCAGTCGGGATATCACGCCTATGGCTCGCGCATCCACCAATGCCGCTTATGGATTGGGGGTCCAGATTTCAGACCGTGAAAAGAGGAAGATGATGGCAGAGGAGCGCCTCTTCGAGCAACTGCAGCTCAACGAGCAGCACACCACGAAGCGGCGAAAACGGAATAGCGGCGCATCGACTTCAAATGTTGTCAACGGCCAGCGGGCGGTGTCCAAAGCCACTCAGCCGTCACGCGCGTCCACTACTGCTGCGCAGCCGCCACCGAAGCCTAAACCTGTATACACCGACGCGTCGACACAAACAGAAGCAGACAATGGTCTCGCATACAACCTTAATATTGTGGTGAAGAGACGCAGACCACGCAGCTCGCCGGTACAACTTCTCTTACAGCGGGCTCGAGAAGAAAGAGAGCGTCGCGAGCGAAGCCAGCGTACTCATGCTGAGGCTGCAAGGTCTGACTCCGTGGATCTCCGGGATGTTGTTATGAAGAATGCCGATAGTGATCAGTTGTCTCCAGTAGCTTCCTCGTCAGCTGCGGCTTCGTCACCATGGGCGAACAGTACATCTGGGTGTCCATTACAGAAGGATGTTGCAACCTCGCCCGCGCAACTTGGTTCTTCGGTATCTTCGAACTCAAGATTATCCGTCATTTCGCCCTCAGCGACATCTCACGTCGAGGAGCATGAGGATGTGGACATGAAAGACGCGGACACAAGCATTGGCTTCCATTCGACATCGTCGGCTGTGATGCATTCAGCAACGCCAAGTAAAAGTCCAGTATCTCAACATCCTGCACAGTCTTCACATCCGCCCATACAGCCGCCGCCGCCGCCTTGGCCCGCTACAGCACAAGCACAGGCACCGTCACACCCGCTCCCGATGCAGAAGACAGTCGGTCTGCACGTCCAGCTTCCTCCACATCCTCCGCTGCTCTCTTCTGTGTCCTCCATGACGCCCACCACGCCCTCTGTCCCTGGCGCACTAGGACCGCTGGCCGGCTCTATCGCGCAATCTCCATCCGCCCTCACCGTGCAACCGCCTATCTTCTCGCCTAACGTTGCGGCTGCTGTTACGCCGAGCCCGATGCAGAAGAAGAAGCTCAGCTTGAGCGACTACACGAGCAGGAAGAAGAAGACGGAAGCACTGTCTGCGGTAGCATCGTCAGTGCAAGCGCCTTCGGAATCGCAGCTGCCACCTCCGCAGTCTTCTCCGCCGAACGGCGCTACGGTTGTCCTGGGCTTGCCGATGGATGAGAGCACTCCTCGGTCTCTCCCCGAAGCGCTAACGAGATAGGGATCCGTGGCCGCAAGAACCCTCAGGAACATGGCGATGGCGATCTGGCGTGGAGACGGCGGCCTTGAGGGGCTTTCGCGGATTTGCTGCAGCGAGGGATTTCTCCAGCATTGTAGCCGTAGTGGCTTGACGGCAATGTGGCACGGAACAATCTTAGGACGTCTCAGCAGCGAGATGGCTCCGTCGCACTTGTGCGCATGCGCCCGCCCTTCCATTCTTGTACCATACTTCTGCCATCCCCTCGTCGCTTTCGTCTGTCTTCTTTTTCTATTTGCGGATATTCACGGTTTCCACGATAACGCACAGCGGAGTCATGCGCCTGGGAAAAGCCCTTCTGACGTCTGCTTTCTTCTTCCCTTTTGGTTCATGGCGCTGGTGGATCGGGCCGCGATGTCTGCGAGCGATGGTGTTATGGCGCGAACTCGAACTCAGTCTTGAAAATCGGCCCGTGTGTTGCACGATTCGAATCATGTATTATGCTTAGATGCGCCTGAGAGGCACTGGAGACGTTGCGACGTCTTTGACAGATGAAACGAGTTCTCAGTGTCGAACCTCGTACATGTGGCCCATTTTGTGTGCGTGACTATTGGTGTTTTGCCCACAATCTTCTCGATGCATAAAGCGGAAGATCGTGGACGGTGCACCGGACGATTTGTTCCACGTGTGCTAACGGTCTCAGTGATATCGGCAAGCACTAGGACAACAACAGCTGATGCTGCAACGCCTTGATGAGAGGATGGATCACGGTCCGAAACTCCCTTCCAGACTGCCATAAGTTGTGAACCATCACAACCCTCACGATGATGCTCAGATTCAACAGACGCTCAACTATCATTGAAGACGCAAACAATGACTGATGGAAGGTACAGTCCACACCTGTAGTTCGCGCATTGCACACTTTTTACAAGCCGAGTCATCCGCACACTCGCCAGCTTGATACTGGTATTCCATCTTCGCATAAACCAAGCGATGCCCGTTGCAGATGCCTCTATTCATGCGCATCCGCGTCCGTCCCGCTGTGCAGATGGGTGTTCCTGCAGTTAACTCTCTTGCGTTCTGGCCAACGCTGAAATCTTTTCGCGCCCAGTCACGCTATCAGATAGGCCGTATTCTTAGCCACGGCTCCTAATGGACGCGTTGAAGTGGATATACCAGCTCGGAGATGGGTAAAGGCATCTGGCACCGGGCCTCGCTGCTTGTACATGGAGCTACTGTTGCCGGAAGCGTTCGCGGAAGCGGGACCGACTGCTGTACGGGAGACGGTGGACTGGCCCATCTGCGTTAGTAATGCGGTCGGTTTCTTGTTTTCTGGTCTTGATTGCAGCTGAAGGTTAGCGGTAGGGGAGTCATGGGCAGAAGTCGAAGGGTTCCTCGATGGGCCTGTGCATGGCTTCCCGACGCTGCCGCTGCAAGTTGTTGCTGCTAACCTTGGATTTGGTCGTTCGTTGCTGGCATCGGCATGTGACAACTATGAATGTCAGAAGCTTTGGAAGTCTGCTGGTAGATGAGCTTGTTCAGAGTTGGACCTGTTGGCCGTCCCTGCTCCAAGGTGGTTGAGTTCGTAAACCTTGGCACGGTTACTCTCGGACTATCGAGGGCTGCACATCTGCTAGTACAGTTCCAACGATCTATCGATAGACCCTTCACAAGATACAGAGCCTCAGGAGCGACCGTCTGGGCACAAGTACGACAAGCACAGACATGACGGACAGCCCACGGCAGTGGCGCAGAAGATCCGCTTCTAGCACGGCCAGGTGGCCGGTAGTCGGTTGACTTGCGATACGAATGCCATGGTGCGGTGTTCTCGGGCTATAATTACTCACTTGTACGACCGGTAAAGCTTCCCTCTTGGGAACCCGTCCGATCCAAGACGACGGTTGCGGGACGAGCCTTCTCTGATCGGCTGAGCTAAGCTAGTGGTGCAAATTTTTCTGGTGCCGTAGCGCGGGTGTGAATTCCGGATAGTAGGTTTTTGTTGCTGGTGGTTGCTGATCAGATAACGCCAAGATACGAGTCGTAATCCATCCCTTGGGCATCGCGTGTGCTGACGAGCAACCCGAATCCGCTTTTGAACGTTGAAGCTGGTTGCTGTCGTGCACTAATGATGTACGTCAATGAAACCTTCTGGAAGCGTTCCTTCCTGAGTTGATCCCTGTGGAAGAGCTGCCGGCATGCCCGTTACGTATTCCTTGTGGCGAAGGCACCGCAGCAACCGACTGCATAGAATTTGAGCGTAGTGCAGCCTATGTTCTCCACTCAATGACAATTTCCAGTATTCTCTATTGACAACAGCAAACCTGAGAGGAGTGGGAAAGGAAAGACGTAGTCGGGATTCCAGGCCTGTTTAGGAATGACGACGCACCCTGAGCGAACGGCTGGTCCCGAAGCTGCACGCTTCCCCTCTGAAGACGGGTCTGCGCGGCCCCGTGTATCCACGTATGGTGGTAGCAAGACTGATGATGCACATGTACCCAGAGATAGAAGGCTTCAGGTTTGGATTCAGATGACCGGAAACGGATACACAAGGCGATCAGGCCATGGTCGCACACGTGTGACATACTACTTACCAACAGCACCCAGGCGATGCGGTGTGATTGTAGTCGTTCTTCCTTGGCTAAATAGACTTGCTTGCTTGCTAATGTAAAAATCATGGCTGAAAATAAACATTCTTGCTTGAAGCGAGGCTGATATGCTTAGCGTCGCATCTCTTCGTCGCAATCACATGTCCCTCAACCACGGATGCTCTTTGCAAATAGTGCTCTTCTTGCTTTTGGACCGCATCACGGAAACAGACCTGAAAGTGCTTACCGTGGACCGCGGTACGAAGCGGTTCCTGAAAGAACGATGAGACCTTGATCCCTGCAGAGCCTCGTATAAACCGCTACCGAAGATAGCTGTAGTTCAATGACTAGAGAGGCCATCGGAATATGCTGTTACTAGCCTTTCGATAAAGCTCTGCAGGCTGTGGATGGACCTGGCGGGCTGACGGGGAGCCTGCAGCTGGGAAGTGCAACCGGTGCTGGGTAAACCCGATCCGAGGAGCTTGGTATAGTAGTATACCGGGATCCTCGTCCAGTCGTTCCGACGTCGTTTCACCACCGGGCAGAAGCATCCACTCAGCCCAGAACACCTGCTGTTCATTCCCGTCGAATCCTAGAGGCAGTGCACGCACTAAGCGAGGAGGCAGCATGCAGCATCGGAGATGAGCGCACCCAATGACGTCTGCAGGGCCTTTTCGGTGGTATGCTGAGGTGTGCTTGTCAAAGCCAGCCTTCGTAAACGTGAGAGGTAGGAGCGTGGCAGGAAAGAGGCTGCTTGCATATAAGGGTTGAGGGTCGCGCCTCAGAAGCAGCCATCACAGCACTTGACAGCCTCTCAAGCTTCAAAACAAACCCTTTCTCCTGCAATCAATCCAGAGCTCAGACATCCAACGTTTCAAACACGCCCTTCCCAGTCAATCAACGTCTCAGACCTCACAGCCGCAAACATGCTCTTCGGTGCCCTCAGCTTCGTCGCGACCTCCCTCTTCGCCGTCCTCAGCACCAGCTCGCCCGTCCCCTCCCTCCAAACCCGCGCCGGCGGCCCACTCGCCAAGCCGATCCCCGCCGAGTGCAGCGTGACAAACCCGCTCGCGGACCGCAGGTCCGACTGCTGGCAGCCTAAAGCCAGCACCCGGCCGAACCAGATCTACGCCTACTACCTCCCCATGTCGACGTTCGAGTACCGGAACCGCACCGATATCTGGACGCAGTGTCTCGAGCAGTGCTACGGCTACGGCTACACCGGCGACTGCAAGGCCGCATTCATGGCTGAGAACGTGCCCAGCGCGCCCGTCTATACCGCTCCTGGAGGCGATCCGTCGATTGCTTGCCTTATGTACAACAGGCCGTTGACGAGGGGCGACTTTGAAAGACCGACTACGCGTAAGCAGTATGTGAATGCGGAGGTCGGCGGTATCTCGTGTCCGGCTTAGAGGCTCAATGAGGGAGTCGATTGGCGGACAAGCGGTTTCGCACGTGGGAGTCGCTGATGCAAAATCTTGTGCTTGGGTGGGGTAGAAGAGGCGGAGAACTGCAGCGGGAGGAAAGTCCTGGAGTATCTTAATAGAGGGCGGCTTGGGAGCTTTGTTAATGTTCTTAGTTACGATCTTACTGTTTATGATGCTATGCTTTGTAGAATTTTCCGTTGAGTAGTAATAGAGGTGGCAGCAGTAGTTAGATGAGAATACGACATGGCTTGTTTACTGCTCAAGCTCCTTCGCCGATCGAGCTGTTGCGATATCTTTGATGTCGCCGAACGCCTGCTTCTCAAACGCTTACGAGCCTTCGCTGGAGTGCCAAGGTGGTGTAGAACGCAACGACGGAGACTTCCGCTGCCTGCAACAACGACAACAGCCTTACTTCTCCTCCTTGATCTCAAATTCTCCACACAAAACACCTAGCAGGTCCCTCACAGTATTCGCATCATCCATCAACTTCTCACCGCCACCCCTGGTCAGCACCTCCATCGCCTTCCGCATCTTCTCGTAGGACGCGGAAAGTTGTGCATGCGAGCACTCCAGTGACCGATACTCCTCCTTCAGCGTCGCGAGCTGGATCTCGACATCTTTGGTTCTTCTCTCCTTGCGCTCGCGGAACGCTCGTTGCGCGGCACGGTTTTGAGCGCGGCGGCGCTGTGAGGGGAACAGTCATAAGTCACGTGGCATTCGAAGCGTGGAGGTATCTAGGGGCGTGGCATACACTGATTTTGCCTACTCCGTTTGCTAACTCCATTCTTTCAGCTGGAGGAAAGGCTAGATTCGTTAACGGTGGCCGGGAAGTGCAGAATCGACTGTCGTTTGCAAAGTCGAAGCTGCCAGATGGTGCGGACATGTGGTATGAGTGGTTCGGTGGAGATGGTGTGTAGTTGTACCATCCCGGACAGGTCGGTGTGAAGAACGGGTCCGAGTGCATTTCATCCTGGGTTTGATGTTGAGCTGGGGCTGGTGATGCTAGTTGAACAAAGCCCTTACCGGTGATACACTTGGTCTTGAAATGGTGGAGCAATTCAGTCTGAGATCGAACAGGTGGATGCTGCCGGTGAAGTCATCCTCTTCCGATAGCCAATGCTCGGACGGTAAGTACTCCATTGCGCTTGAGCGGCGGCAGTGGGCCAGTTGCAGTGCTTCGGTTTCTCAGAGCTTCTGAAGTATCTGAAACTTGACTATTCGGAGAAGGAAAGGTATATGCTAGAGGTTCACTGAAGTTATGTTATATACCAAGCAGAGACAGCTTGAGGACTTGTTGACGAGACAGCAAGGTAGGAGAAGCATGTGTTAATCTATGGTGAGGCTGTTTGCCCCGCACAGCATACAGTGAATCCTTTCAGCAGCACCATGGTTAGCGACATCCGTACACATCGGTCAACATGAAGTGCATCGGTCGGCCAAAAGATTGGGGATACCGAAGTCGCAATTGCGCTTGGACGAGTTGGGAGCTTGCGAGTGGCGTTTGGCTTTGGCGGCCACTCCCGCTAGCGTCTTACCCGCATGACGGTTTTGGCAGACACTCAGGACGCCGCCGCACAACAGATTCGATCGCTGTGCCTGACGCGTCGAACGTAGATGTTTCGTGAGTTCGACACCTCTTAGTCCCAGCCAGCTTGCCCAATACGCACTCTCAAATGAAGCGGTTGCAAGGCAATGGTCCGAGAAGCATCACCATTCAACCCAGGATACATTTTGCTCTCGTCCGTCAGCCCTATCGTACGATCTTCGCGCGACCCCGCCCTATCATGTGAGCGTCGTAGTCCATTGGCGGAAGAACTCCGTATCTCCTGCGAGTTGTAAGTCCTTAAGGCGAGGAAGTGCAATGCAAGACTCAAAGGCAGGCAGGGCAGATCCCAGAAGGAGGTGGGCTTAAATACAGACGTAGACGAGACGGCGTGCTTGGAGGCTTCGCATCTCCGTCTTCGAACCATTCAGATGAAATCAACTTGAGAATTGTTGTGTTCATATGCAGTGGTGAGCGCGGAGATTAATACAGATTCCTGACGAGCTCCAAGACTTTGTCGTAAAGCTCCCCTTCCTTTGCCCCCGTGGCCCTGTTTGCGATGACAGTCACTTGATCGTCGCCTACATTGTACTCTTTCAGATTCGTTTTCAGTCCTAGGCTGTCCACAAGCTTCAAAATCTCGTCTCCTACTTTGGTGGCATCTTGGCGGTCATCACCGGTCCTGGACTGTCCAATGACAGCAAGTACTCTTGCGATCTGTGCCGCATCTTCCGGCTTCTGCGCCTTCAGCTTGATAACGTGGCCGAGCGTCAAGCAGGAGGTAATGCCGTGCGGAATCGAGTACGGTGACCCCAGTGCGTATCCGAGTGAGTGGCTCAGACCGAGGCCTCCTTTGAGGTTCAAGCCGATAAAGCCGAGAGATGCATAAGAGGCGAGCTGCAGCTGCGTGATAGCGTCCTCGTCTTTAGGGTCGTCCTTGTACTTTGGGAGGTATGTGAACAGATCCGACGCTGCTGACAGCGCCATTCTTCTGGCGGGCATCTCCGTCGCTGTAGGATGGTACATGATCTCCATTGCGTGATCCATTGCCCGCATGCCAGTAGACAGCCACAGCTTCGGCGGGGTCTCCAGGGCGAATTTCGAGTCGTATATGATGACATGCGGTACGATCTCCGGATGTATGATCCCCGTCTTCGTGCCATCCTCTTTTGTGTATCCAGCAATGAACGTGCATTCTGCCGCACTTAATGTGGTAGGAATGGTGATATGAAACAAGAATTTGCCCAGCCTCTCGTTCACCCGGTAGGAGATGGCTTTGGCGGAGTCAATAGGACTTCCACCTCCAATGCTGATGAGCGTATCGATGCTATCGTCCTTCTTCACGATCTCTGTAGCTTCATCGAGCTGTGCGACAGGCGCATGCTGACCGATGTTTGGGAATGTGCCAGCATGGTGATCACTTCCAAGGAGGTTTTCTACTTGTCTGACGAGTGAAGTTTTGTTGGCCAGAGAAGCTCCTGTGATAATGAATGCTTTGGAAGATGATGAGGGAAGTGTCTCGCGGAGATGTTTCTCCACAGCTCCAGGACCGTAGTAGAGGGCCTGAAGATGAGTCGGCTTCCACAGGCCGGACAATGGGTTGGAAGTCGACTCAGTCATGGTGTGCTTGAATCGCCGAGCAAAGTTGGATATGTGTTGCAAGGTTGCCAGCTGACGAGCGTGGGAGAAGTATACCATCATGCGATGACGCAATGATACCTTCGGGGACTCAAATACTAGTCTAAGACCCTAGCGTTGGTTCCATAAGGGAGGATTGGACCCCAAATGCGCCATTCTCGAAAGAATGTTCGTTTGCTAGGCGTGGTTATGATTAATGAGCATGTTGTTTCGCCGGCGGTGAACTCAAGACCTCGGCAAAGGAAGTTCTGAGTATGGATGGCCGCTATAGAACTTCCATGGCATGACACGCCTCTGCATAGCGGTATGAACTGGACAAGACATGCAATATATCTGTCAGTGCATTCTGCTGTGCCTATACTGCATGAGACGACCGGTGAATTTTGTTTGAACCAGTTCTTCAACACTCTACGAAACCAACCAATTACAGCAAGACCTGCGAAGACTGAACGCTTCGACCAACGCCTGGACGCTCTAAATTGAGAGCTGTTTGTCCGGTCCATCCTGTACAAAATCCAAGGAGACATGTTGATAACAGAAATAAGCAGCAACGGATCAAGCGCAGACGTCCTCACCTCGAAGACGTACCCTTGTCAGAATGCTGTACCTCAAAAACGCCGCTGGGTGAAACCGTACCGCTCTCATCACCCGCTTCCTTCTCCCCGCTCCCAATGAACTTCCTATAGTCAAAGCAGAAGCCCGGGTGGAAGCCATTCAGCACCGCAACAGCAACGGCGCACATCCTGCAGGTAAGACGTTAGCATCCGCTCAAGATAACTCGACCAACAAGAGGTTGACCTACAGCGAATCCAAAACAATAAACGTCGTCTCGTCCCTCATGATCGGGTTTCCCCAACCGCCAGCCATCTCCGCAATGCGGTAGATGCACCTGAAGAGAATCGCGACATAGGCAGTCACCAACGCGCCCAAGAACCATCTAAATTTCCTGCTCCTCCTGAGTTCTTCCGTCCGTGGGTTCAGTTCGTATCGGTGCCGCCACACCCGGACGAAGTATTCAGTGACGAGCGTAGCGAATGCCAGTAGGGTGAACACCTGGAACGAGAGACCGGCCATCATGAGGTTGTTCCCGGTGTTCATCAGACTTCCCGGGCCTGTGGCCGCTGACGCCAGGCCGCCGCCTGCACCTTGTAAGGCGAGAGAGAGGACGTCGCAAGATATGAAGATGTAGGTATACCAGGCCGGCTTGATGCGCGAGATGTGGGCGCCGAAGGTGATTACCCTTAGTATTGTTAGCACACCATGTTACAGTTCGAGGTTCAGCGATATCCTTACAGATGCTTCAAGCATAGGTATACACCCGCGGCTAGAAACGCCGGTGCAAATGTGAGCAAACAGATCTGCAGCTTGAACCCAACCTCGCTAAAGGGATCGTAGTGGAGCATTATCCGCCCACCGTGGCCCAGTGCTTCACAAAAGCAGCCGAGAACCATGGCAATGCTGAATGATCGGGTCTTGGTACGGACTCCCTGGATCGTGAAGATGACGGCGGAGACCGAGAAGATTGCTATGAAGGCGGCATTGGCGCCTAACGATGGAGCATAGCCATATATTGACTCGCTGGCTGGGCAGGTGTCTTTGGTGCAGTTGTAGACGTCATATTCTTCAGGCTGGGTCTCTGACATGATGATAGATATCTAGGAGACGCTCGGAGTATTTTGTATGTTGGGACTAAAGACGATTTGGGTGCGTTGGAGCTGTTGGACTGCAATAGGATAACGACGAAAAGGGTGCGTGACTATAATAATATAGACAGATGGACAAAGCTTGAGTATGTTTGAGACTCCGAAGTATCGATGCTACAGAACTGAAAGCCCATGAACCGACCTCAGGCACATTAGACTATATACCTCAATGACTCAAAAGCTACACAGCCGGCTTCAGCGCCGTCAATTCCGGACATGGTATTTGTGACGACGACCAACGTCCGTATCGCATGATAAGCCTAGTCCTCCGAGCGAGCTGATTAGGACATTGGGCCTCCCACCACGCAGCGGCGGAACACAGCCAATATAGGCCTTCGCGGCCAGTCCGTATCTCGGCCGTAAGTAAGGATTGTTGAAGCAGGCTTCTGTCCTTGACAGCTTCGTCCAGCTCTAAAATCCTTACGGGCGAGCCTGGATCAGGATGGTTCTGCTAAGGAGTGTTCCTCACAACTGTGGTGGCTGAGTCACGACTTTGCTCCGACATGTGCGCGTCATCATCTTACGTCCGTATTCGGGCGCAATCAGACGGGAGACGCTAGGCCGAGCAAGTCTTACACGCGGCCTCAGGGAGGATTGCATGTGCCTGAGATGAATCAAAGTGCCAGAAAGCGGTCAATTCCGTTCAGCTCGGACGTGTTCATGAGGCCCAGGGACCTTATTTGAGGCTGGGTGGCTGGCTCGCTGAATTTGCCTCATCAGGCTCGCTTTGCGAGGAGACCTGAATGACTGTAAGCGCGTAAACCGTCAAAGCCCACGAGCACGAGCAGCGCACTTATACTCGCATCTTTGAGGAAGAAATCACAGCGGACATGGTGCACAAAGCAAGTCCTACGTTGTTGGATTTATCCCTCCTCTAGACCTAAGCCGGCGGGGTTCACGATCCAGTCGTTCACGCAAAGCTAGCTACATACGAAAACATCTGCGCTTGCCGCATCACGGTTGTCTTACAGACACGGTCAGCCGATGAGTGAAAGACGATCCCCTGAATTGCTCCCATCCCCTTGCAGGTCATCCCTCTTGCTCCCTATCCAATCTATCATTCCCGTCTATAGCTTTCGCTAGCCTTTGGAACCGAAATGCCCAGATCACCGCCCAGAGCAAAAGCCATGTAACATTTCCATGCGCCGACAGCAATGCAAGCCCTCAAGGGCCACGTCTAGTACTTTTGATCATGAAAAAGAAAGAAAAAAGCTGGACAGAAGGCATATAAGGTTGTTGTTGAAGCAGAAGATATCATACACTGGCGAGACATGAGAAGCTTCCTGCCTCGACCAGGCTTCGGCGAGGAAGCGCAAGACGGCCTCACAGATCCTGCAGGCTTCATGATGGGCGCGGCGGAGCGCGATGAGCTACTGAAAGTGGAGGCATAGCGTTGGCGGTAAGCCTGCGCGCAAGGCACCGAGGCGCCAAAGCAAGCAACGTATCGTTCATGAAAGTCGCGTAAGTCGTGCGGAATTGCACGCTCATAAGGAGACACGTGTACGGCGAATGTGCTCATCAAATCGTTAGACCGACTGCGTGTAGGCCCGGAAGTTCGACGTGCGGCGCGATGGGTGTAAACAGATGCTTCATGTTCAGCGTCAGGCCCTCCATGCCGTAATCCTCATGGATATCTCCGACTGCACCAATCTCCCCGGTGCCATAAGGCTGCTTCGTAGCCAAATGCGTCTTGATTTGTCTCAGTAAGGAGAAGACTTGTCTGAAGCGGACATCTGGATGCGCGTGCCAGTCCGCCGCACGGGTGCTACGCAAGAAGTGAGTTGCGAGGTAGTAGAAGTGGATGCCATCCCTGCAGAAGCCGACTCGCCGAAGTACCGGTTGCGACGGCGGGTACTGAGAGTCCATGTCTCGATCCCAAGTCTTCTTCCACTTCTCCAGCGCGCTGTTCAGGGCCTTGTGCATCTGATGTACATCCTGACCGTATGGTTCCAAGGGTGAGGCATAGCCGCTGCTATTCTTGCCCATTGAACCATTGGTCCCATTGGCAGCACTCCACGCGTGCTTCAAAAGGGATGCGCTACCACCGCCAGGCGAGAAAGCAGTCGTGTTGGGGATAGGGGTTACTTGTTGGGACGCACGACGTTGAATGTGCCAAATTTGGACGTGGAGAGCGTGGATCAGAATGAACTTCCCGTAAACGTTCGTTCGGTGGGATTCAAACTCCCCATCCGACTGCAGGATAGAAGACATAAGCTGGCACATGTCCGGCTGCTTCAGGGCACGGTTGCCGGTGGTGTTCTTGTATTGCGCCTCGGATCCGTTTAGTCCAAGGGCGTTGGCACAATCAACAGCGCTCTTGGCTTCCCAGGGAGCGTCATCGGACGGAAGTGGCAGGCGGACATCAGAGGCGTTGAACTGAGGGGTGCTGTTGAAGAAGACGACCATAGCAGCGTCTATCAGAAAGACTAGATATACGATCCGCAATCGCTTCTCCTGTTCGACCCAAGCGGCCCAGGACCAGGCGGACAATTCATGTGAGTCAGGTATGGGCCCGGACTGGTGTAGTACACTGTACCCCGGATGACTTGAGAGAAGAGTGCCAGGTTGGCCATATTCTGCTGGACAGAGCAGACCGATGCGGGATACGACTCGGGCGACCTTAGGAAATTCTTCTCTTGCCATGCGTCTATGGACCTCATTTCCATGCCAGATGAGCAAACAACTTAGCAAGAACAAAGTTTGGATTTCTTCGATGTCCGAAGGCTGTTGCTGTAGCAAGCTGTCCGGCTCTGTGGTAGCTTCTGATGCGAGCGCGTATAAGTTCGACGTTCTGTGAACAGCGCTTTTTACTACCTCCATAAACGACCTAACCTGTTGAGCATCGATTCTCTCGGAGTAGACGGCGCCGATGCAGATGATGGTGAGAACCAGTCCGTTGTTGGCATGTATTGGGTTGAATGTTGGCAAGTGGATCATCGGCCAGTGACCCTGGAAGTTTTTGAATTGATCAAGAAAGTGCCTGATATTGTCGACGGTCAATATCGCCTTCAACGCTTGGTATTTGCTACCGTCGGTGTGTGATGCGAGCACGCCTTGACCGGAGAAGGCGAAGTCGAGTAAGGCGTCTGCCTTTGCCTGCCACGGATCTTTGTTCAACGACGAGTCGACATCCCAGTGCTCGAAGATCTGGTCGCCTCCGAACGATGCCGTGCCGGTGTACAAGCTATCGAACATGCCGTCCTGAGACATTCCGTTGTGAGACTGAAAGTTGTTAGTGAGAGTGGACGCGGCCTTGGTGGTTCCTGGGCCGGCACTCATACTGGTGGGTGCCATGAATCCATCCTGGCCATTGGTCTGGAAAGGGCTTGGCCACTGTAACGCGCTCCCCTGCCCTTCTTGCAGCGTAGCAGTGCCTGCTATGCTTGGACGCCCGTACAGCAGCGGATTGGAGTCTTCGCTCTTCAATCCCAAATTGGAGTGCAGCTCTGAGCCAGTCCCGGAAGCGTTGTAGGCGAAGGGCTGACTCATATGGCCCGCAGACTGCGCTTGAGTCATGCCGTACGCTGACATTCCCTGGCTGATGTCGCCTAAAGTGGTGGCCGGTCTATATTCAGGACCAAGATCGAAGATGTTCCGTCCCGCGATGTTCATATCTGACATGCTCCTCCGGTTTTCGTTGCCAATACCGGTACCAGGCCGCATAAGGCTGTTCGATCTCGACGTGCGCGTAGACATAGAGGGCAGTGGCTCGACGTAAGTATTGGACGAAGCCGTGAGTGGTGGAAGAGAGGTAAAGGCATTGCCAAAAGTGCCATCCGAGTACGCTGTCGAAGTGGTTATGTTGTTGGCAAGGCTCATATCACTCACACTGCCTGTCGATAACCGATTCTTCTTGAGATGGGACTGTGAGTCCGCAAGGTGTGATTCGCCAGTAGGATTCCCGCGTCTTATGGAACACTTCTGAAAGTGCCTCTTGAGAATATCGCTACGGGAAAAGGTGTCTTTGCACAGGCGACATTGATACGGTCTTTCACCGGTATCTATAGATCAGTCAGTGTCGGCGTCGTTAACTAGTTGAACATGCCAAGCCCGTTGAGGCTTCGATATTGATCTCCGCTGACAGCTCGCGAGCAAGCCCTCCGCTATCTAACAACAGACCAGCTTCGATGTGCCGCTGTTCTTCATTCATTGCACGGTGCATGTGACGTGAAATGAGACTTACGCCTGAGGAGATGTCGCTTGAGATGTTTTAGATGAAGATAGGTCTTGGTACAGTTCGGACAAGTGTATTTGCCCTCGGCATCTTTGGTAGGCACCAGTGCTGCTTTGCCGGGCAGCGGTCGGCCTGTGGCATTGGGCAGCACACCGCGCCGCCCTTGTTGTCCTACCACATGAATCGGCTCCTGCTCCTGACTGGGAGGCATCGGCGGCTGGGAAAGAAGCTGCGGCTGGCCATACTGAGGTTGCATCCCAAGGCCTCCATGAGGCATAGGACGGATATCGTGCAAGCGGCCTTGTGTCGACGAAGAGGCGAGATGGTGAGGGCTAGCAAACGCAGATGACGAAGGCGGCGTCGAAGATTGGGAGGCTCCGAAAGGCAGAACGGGCGGCAGATGCGAAGAAAGCGTCTGTACTGAGCGCAACTGCGGCTGCGGCGCAATGGCTGTGTAGCCATTAGTCGCCGAGGACGATACTGCAGCATGGGGCGTCAAGGGCGTCTGGGGCGCGCTGCCGGGACCATAGATGGATTGAAACTGCGCAGCGGCACTGTTCAGAGGAGGAAGAGTAGGCAAGTGATTTGAGGCCGAGTGGAACCGCTGCAGCGGTTGTAGTTGGGTCAATGAATGGCCATGGTTTCCAGATACCGTCGGCGGCAGACCGTTGCTGTGGTAGGATTCATCCATGATACGACGGGATCAGGGGCGGGCTATGGAGACGCGATCAATACCGAGAAGACCGGCCCACCACATTCGTGTGACGCGACAGACAATAGAGAGTCAGAAAGATGTGAAGCTCGCACCGGCAGGAGTCCGACTGTGGTTTGCGCGAGTGCCGCCAACCGCCTGAAGGACGATGGTGGGGCTCTGAGCACTGGGCACTGAGCACCGAGCACCCGAGAACTTTTTGCGATGCAGCCGCAACGGAGAATACACGCAGCGGGGCTCTTGACTTCTGCTAATTGCAGGCACTGTGCGCGGCAAGCGACCGCGAGCGTCAGATTGCGTCGGTGAGATTGATCTGTGAAGACGTGAATGGCGTGAGCTAAGTGGAAATGTGTGGCGGTCGTCCTGGGGGGTGTGGAGGGCGCGCCAGGCTCAGGCTCAACGGACGCCAGAGGGGCTCTCGTAGATCAGACCCACTTCGTCAGCCGCAGCCCGTGGTAGAGCGAGTGGACAGGCGGGATTCTCGTGTCTTTATGGATGGGAGATATTCGTACAGTTCGAGTTGCAAGTGCAAGGCGAAACTGGTCAAAGAGAAGCCAGGTAGGGGAGCGGCAGCGAGGGCCAAGTCTGACGTGCGGAAGCGCTAAAATCGCCGTCCTGCCGTTGAAACTCAACTCGAAGGTCGAAAATCTCTGCCGCACGTGATTGTCGCCGTGTTGCAGCTCGGTCGTCTTGGTGCCTCTGCTAGTTAACTCTTCTAGAGTAACCTACGCAGGCAGGGCAACAACGTTAGCTGCCTACCCCGGAGTACGTGAAGCCTACGGTGTGAGCTTGGAGTAGCTACGAGTCGAGTAGGTGATTCGCGAGTTCCGCTCTACTGTTTTGCCGGCAATCCCGATCCCACCGTGCCCTTAGCGGTCGTCGAGCAGTCCCAAGGTAGATATCGTTGAAGTCCAGCCGTCGTCGTTTCACGTTTCACGCCAACTCCAGCCTGCACGGCTCCCCTCGCTCTGCACCACACAGTTTGTGGCGACTCAGACCTGAATAGTCCCGCGTCGATGGTCCTCGAGTGCTCCCCTTTTACGGGTTCTCGGGCCAGTGAGGCTTGTCTGCACCCTGTCGGCGTCGCGATAGCAGTGCTCGTCGCAAGAGGATCGAATCTTCTCTCGGTTTAGAGCGCTCTGAGCTCCTCTGTCACTGCTTCGAGGCCAGCAGCTTCGCCGTCCGAGCTAGGTCCTGCTGTTGCCCATGCGGTAACCCCAGTCTCGGGCCGTCCGGATCTTTTTGCCGATTGAGTCTAGCCGCAAGCGTTATTACCGGAGGCCGAGCTTTGCGAGCAGGATCCGTGTCCATTGTCACTGTCCTCAATCATATTACGACTTGAGCCTGCTTGCGGGTCTGACAGTTCTGAGGTGAGCGATTCACGATGGTTGGTACCGCAATGGAGTTGTGAGACCGTAATCAGTACTGCATAGAGTGCTATTTCGAATGAGCCAGATCTATTCCGTTTGAACGGGTTCGTCATTTCTCCTTTCCTGTAGATATCCGCCGCTGTCCTGAGATTCGGCATCAAGAGCGATCTTCTCATCAAGGGCGCTTCCATACGTCTCCGCTGACAGCTTGAAGGCCAGTGGCTTTCCCTTGAGACAGATGGCGGTGAGTAAGTCGTCAAGCATCTGCTCGGCTTATATATTCGTCATAGTAGAGGCAGCTTGTGGTATCTTCAACGTCTTCCAGCATGTGCGCTTGTTCCGTTGAACGTGGGTCCTGAGCATCTCCACGTTGTCGCTGATAATTCCAGGCATCAATGGCGTGTGGTGACAGATAGATGAGCGCTCTGGATGACAGTTTGATAGTCGAGATAGATGAAGGTGGGTCCATGTCCCTCGAGCGCTTCATATGTATAGACTCAACTTCAAGATAATTGCCCATGCTATGTTCGACATGTTGAGGAAGATGCAGTCGCTGCAGCAAGGGCAGCTTACAAAGGCTTTGACGCCTTCGAGCATGGACTCATGTTGTGTTAGATCTGGGTTCTAAGCGCACTCGTTGCATCCGTTCCATTGCCAACCTTTGACAGTGCGTGGTGACAGATGGACATGGGGCTATCCGTGATGCTGTCCTGCTTGACCGTTGTCAACCCATGTCTCTTTAGCGCTTCAAACCCCGGCATCCGCGGCTCTAGTGCTGATCTTCCCCACCATCCGTGCTGCCACTGGCGCTCCATTGCTCCAGCTTCGTGGGATGCCTCAGATGCCTGATCCGGACGGCAAGGCGTCCCGCTGCACCTGACTTGAAGCGCCTCCATGCTGAATCCAGATCCAGCGTTGGGGTCTCCGCCGTGCCATCACCACTTGCTCTTACCAGCTACTACCGGCATTTGCTGCTGTTCGTGATTCCCTTACTCCGTAAGCTGATTCGAGACCTACCTGCTCTGCCAGCATGGCCTACGGCAGGCCGTGATCAATCCATCACTGCGTGCAGCCAGCCGTCTGCGTGTCTCCACACACCCGGCTTCAGCTCCGCTTACCTCACCCCCCCCTCCGAACCACATCAACCTCCCACAATCACCCTTACCTTGACCACAACTCCATCATGCTACCACCAAGCCTGCAACACGGCTCTGGTGCCCTCACCCACTCTCGCCGCACCGCCGCCACCGCCATCACGCCCTCCGCGAGAACCATGGCGCGCCTCAAGCTTGTGACGCCGCAACGCCGGAGTTTGTCATGGTGGTCACGCAAGACGCACTGTCTCTCCCAATTCAACGCCGCCAACAACCCCAAATGCCTCAAGCCCAGCTTCCGCGTCAGAAAGCTCCTCAAATCGCCAAAGATCTTCCAAGACCGGCCCGCGAGCTACTGGGACCGGCCCGGCCTGTGGCGGATCCACGAAGAGTCCGGCAAGCAGCCCCAGCAGGACAATAAGCGTGGCAAAGATCATCAGGAGGATGAGGGCTTCTTCGAGCTGAGTCGTGCTGAGAAGGCTTGGCAGCAGCGGATGGATGCTTTGAAGAGGCGGCTCGATGAAGATCCTCATGACGCGCTGTTTGGACGGAGCAACGCCATGCTCAGAGGAGTTCCTTGGGTGCCGAAGTGGCTGAAGGACGAAATGGGCCTGAACGATCGAGAGACCGAGGGGTCTCGACGCAAAGATACTGAGAGCAAAGTCGACGCTGACAGTCCAGCTGCAAAGTCCCCAAAGCCGGATTCATGTGCTTCCGCAACGCGGACTGTCGCTCAGCATGCGGACGGCTCGCCAAAGCCTTCCACCAGTCCTCAGGCGGATTACGAATATGACCCGATCTCGGGCAAGATGGTGCCAAAAGAGGCGAGCAACCCCACACAGACACCAACTAAAGCTCAGCCAGACAACGACGGCTGGATCGACATTCCTGTGAAGCCGTTCAAGCCTCGAGGCGCTCACCCGACAGCATCCCAGAGCAAGAAGACGGACACTACCGCCACGAGGGAGTTCGTACCGAAAGAGACTTCAATCGAGACGGACAAGACTCAAGGTGTGGAGTCTGTCGACCCGCTGAGGGAAGCACTGAAGCAGTACGAGCAACGTGAGAAACAGAAGCAGATAAAGCCTTCCGCACCGCCTGAGGAGCAGATAGCGATGAATTCGTCTACCGTCACGAAGCCGACATCGAGCAACAGCAGCCAACCGCGACGTCCAAATCTCCCGGCTGATGATATTGACCTTCTGCGCCCCAGCGACGTCCGAGCAACCATGGGCATCTCGAAGCATCCAAAGAAAGAGACGCACGAGCAGAAGACAAAGCAGCGCGAGAGACTCGAGGAGGAGTTTGAGAAGGCTCATGAGGAGGTCGACGTGCCACCCGAGTCGACAGTTCCTAAGTCTGCTGCCAGCTCGGATCCCAGAGACGCCTTCTGGCATCATCTCGACCGCGAGTTGAAAGTCTTGAAGGCAGATAGGGAGCAAATCTTGACCTCTAAGACGAGCATGGAAACGGAGAGTGGGCAGGACGGAACTGCTCTCGGAGCACTGATGGAGAACCTGCGCGTGATCAGAGATATGATGAAGGGGATCGAAGAACTCGCAGTCGAACAGCAGAGGAAGTCAACCAAGAAGCAGGCCGCGAACGAGGAAGGCTCCCGGAGCGCAGAAGTGGACGTGCAACAGCTCATAGGACCTGGCAAGACTGTGAAAGGACTAGCCTCTGTGCAAAAGAAAGTAAATGTACTGCAGACTTCACTGGAGAGATACGCGGCCAAAGATGGGAAGGCTCAACAAACGACTACTAAAACGGACGACAAGCAAGAGACACCAACCTTGGACTGTAGCACTGTTCAGGAGCAGACTGTTGTCCCAGAGTCCGAACCGGCCGAGGTAAATTCCTCAAACACGGCTACGTCCGGTCTCTCTGAGGACGTGAACGCAACCGCAGAAGCAGTTAAGCCTCCTGTTGATGCCTGGGACTACTCGACTATCCCGCAAGGCCTGGAGCCTTCCTATGCCGAGGAAGTCGAAAGGAAGAAAAACGGCATCAAGACTCCCGGAGAGCTGCAGAGGGAACAAGAGGCAGCGGCCATCGCTCTGGCAGCTGATCCGTATGACAAGACTCCCCAGGGTCTTGAAACCTCGTTCCAGCGTGAGCAAGAAAGAAAAGCTATGGGCATCAAGACTGCGTATGAGGAGCGTATGGAACGGGAGGCTGAAGGGATAGCGAAAGCGGCAGATCCGTATGACAAAACGCCGCAAGGCCTTGAGACTTCCTTTGCGCGCGAGATAGCAGCTGGCCGAAGTCTTGAGAATGAGATCCAGGCCAGGGAGATTGCTGCGAATGAGATGACTGATGGTTATGACACCGGAAGGAGCCTACCGGAGACGGCCAAGGCCAGGACCAGTGTGGACGCAAGAGCGGAAGATCCGGTAGACACGTGGGGGTATTCGCTGAAGCCGATGGGCTTGGAGACGTCTTTCGCGAAGGAGAAGGCCGCTGGTCGTAAGCTAGAGGAGGAGATCAAGGCGCAGAAGAATGCCATGACGGCTTGGGAGGACCGCTTCTCGCATGAGTTTTCGACGGGATTGGAGACCAGCTTTGCTCGGGAGTGCGCCGATGTTGCCAGTGGCAGGAGGAAGAGCCTCGAGCAAGAGATGAAGGATCATTCATTGGCTACTGCGGCCGTAAACGCTGCGGTGCGTAGGGGCAGTAGGCGGCGGGCTGCTGAAGAGGCTGCGAAGAACGCGCAAGAGGAGCGTGATGTGGAGCTTGTAAGCGATGTCCGAAAGATCTATGAGGACCACTATGGCACCATTCACACAAAGCACCAGCAAGGGTCGCCGGTGGCTGCGGAGATGCAAGGTCGAGTTGACGAGGGCGTGCACGAGGCGCTCAAAGAGTTCGAGGTGCGGACAAACAAAGACTACAGCTTCAAACCGGACAACCTCGAGGCCGAACTCGCGTCACAGCACAAAGCGGCCGCCAAGGCACAAAGCTCACTCGAGACGCGCGCAACAGCTCAACCTCAACCGCAATCGTCGATCTCCTCTAGTGTTACTGTCGAGTCACCCCATCCAGTGGTCATCCAGAATCGGCATCAGAAACTTGACCAAGCAGTGACAAAGGCGCCTGAACTAGCTCTCTTACCACGACGCGAACCAGCTACCTACAAGATTCTAGCCTACGACGTCCACGGCGCTTCCGTAACAACGGCAACGACGTTCTCAACACCGACTTCTGAAGAGAAGCCGCTCCCACTGACCGTGTCCCTCTCCGGTCTCACGTACCCGGCACCGTTCCTTCCACACCTTCCGAGCCTAGCACGTGATGGATTCGTTCCCGTCTCTGCTACGTCGGACCTCCTGGTCTTCCGCAAGCTTGGCAAGGACGATGGACTCAAGGCTCTACTGGCCTCGGCCCCCGAATTTAGCCAAACTTATGACGGCCGCGCGGGGACAAGCAGCGAGGAAGCCCCGGAAACCCGCCGCAACATGAACCCAGTGGACGGGACGACTCCACCTACAGGCAACTTCGCGAGCCCGACTGGCTTCGTGAATCACGATCCCATTTCCACCGCACCCCCTCCCAATTCTCCATTATCAGCAGCATCTTCGGTGGATCCAGCCCTGAATCCCAATTCCGCCTCCTTCCTTTCCAGCATCCACGAGAGCCCGTCGGCAGCGTCGAGCTACCCGATGTTCCCGTCCTCGTCTGCCTCCGCTGCTGGTCCGCAGCAGGGACCGTGGGTCAGGCGCACGGAGCCGGTGTTTTCGGGCAGTGAGCGTAAGTGGAGGAACGGAAATGGGAAGCACGGGAAGAAGGCGAAGAAGGAGACTGGAACGGCGAGGCGGGTGCTCGTCAGTGCGATCTGGGCGGCGGCTTGCTGCTATGTCGTTGGTGTCGTGGCGGAGGTGGTGAAGATGGGAGCTTAGGGAAGGGTATGGGTTATGGGTGGAGCTCAAGGTAAGGGTATGCTTCATTCATGGATGGGACTTCGATTGGATTTCAATGGTTGGGAACAACAACGAATGATGCATGATGGGCCGGTCAGGGTATCTGGGCTGGTTATGGTGCTACTTGGATCACTGGCAGGGATAAGGGGCGCAGCTCGACGCACATGAGGTTTCTATGGGATGCGGGCGGCATGCTTGTACTGCGATACCATCTCTGCTTTTTTTGTACTTTAGGTTCAGGACAAATAAACGGAATCTCAACTTTCGACCATGGACGAAATGCTTTGCTTGTCGCGGCTGAAAAGGAAACTGCTCTTTACGCTTGTGCTGCGAACTAATTGAATCTGACATCTGGTGAGCTTCAGGGCCTTCACAGACCCGCAGACACGGTGCCTAGAGGGCATCGAAGGCTTCTCCGGGACACGATATACCTTGAGAAATTGCAGCCATGGGCACTGCTATCGGACTACAATAGCATGACGGGGGTTGGATTTCGATGTTGATTGATGCTGATAGTCTCCTCTGTCAGCTCCATACAACTCTACTCGAGCAGTCCTGAGAGCACGACGCGTTCGGGTAGAACGGACAATAGGCGGCATACTAAGTAATTGTAACCTTCAACGAGTGTCAGGACCTTGCTCATACCACTGATGAACGCGTCCATGGAAGCCTGGGTGACGATTTGGGGGCCAAGGGGGCCGCGTGGAAAGCCGCAGCCGCCGGTGATCTTGTCTCGCTCCAAGTGGCTCCAAGTTCTCCTAGGGCTGTCAACCTTACCCAACTTTGCATCTCGTGGCTTAAAAGCCCCACAACAGGAGGCTCAAGGCACCCAACGGATCTCCAGCTTCATTCGAGGCGATGGAGTGGCGCATGGCACGGGATCGGGGCTCCGAGCCAGCCTAGCCTTCACGTTAAGTATCTCCTGAGCGCTAAATTTACCATGGTAAGAGCTTTGGTAATATAATGCCTGTCTGCTCGTCAAACACCTTCGCGAGCCCATCTTCAAAGTCAACTTCGAGCGTCTCCTTGCCACCCTCGCCAACAAAGCGTCATCTCATTCCTCGCAGCGATGTCTGAGTTCTTCGCCTTCCTTGGGTATCCAGCCCGTATCGCAGGTCGTGTGCTACTGTTGGCACGGTATCTCTCGAGCGGATACAGTATCCTAACCAGAACGAGTACGTACGCGCAAGCACGCTTCGGCATGTCATACAGATGGCGGCCCTGGCTTCTACCTGACCTCAATGACCTTGAGGGGATAGAGGACCTTGTCAACGCCGAGAGCGACGAGAGGGTGATAGCTTTCAAAGACTACCAGCTTTCAGCATGCCAAATGATCGCCGTGATAGTAAGTTCCTCGATTCGGCAGGCCTTCTCAGCTCCGTCCTCTTGAACGAAAATTAACCCCTGCAGGGCGCTCTCGTGGCACAAGCGGGACTCTCAGCACTTTCCCTCTCCTCTCTGGAGGAGATGCACTTTACTGCTCGCGGTTGCTTTATCATCAGTATGATCATAGGCCTTGTCGCAACCTTCTGTGCTGCACTCCAGCAGCGTACATTCGGAAATGTCAGCAGTGCCGATGAAGTAAGGGCTTGGCTCAGCAGCGGCAAGCAGTATAAGAGCCACGAGGGCTTGTTGCGCTACAAAGCTTCTGTAGCGGCCTGCCAGATACTACAAGCTCCATTCGAACTCGTCTGCATGTCTATCACCGCCTTTGTCATAGGATTCGGACTGTACCTGGGCTTCGCAATGCACAACGAGCTAGCTCTAAGTCTGGGCCCAAATGCCAACCGCACCCTTCTCATCTTTTATCTTGTCATCACGGTCTTTCCACTCGTGGTGATCGGGCTACTTCTGGGGACGCAGGATATAGAACAGCTTAAGCTCGCGGGTTCCACCGACTACGTTCCGAGAGGATTTGGACCATCGGCACCCGTTGCACGAAACACTGCGCATCTCTTCCCTCCCGGAGTCAAGAGCTTGCTTCCGTTGGCCAGTGAAGGCCAGCAAGGGGCTCCACACAATCGGCAGGGAGAATCCGGCGACCAAGACCTTAGGAGAGCCTTGTTGGAGGCTGCGGCTGCCCATCGTCAATGCGCAAAAGCCAATGAGGAAGTCGCCATTCAATATGAACGTTTGTGTAGAGCTAGTTGAGCGCGGCGTGTGTGATACACCCCAGGGGCCGGATTTACTTCCGAATTTGTCCGGCTCAAGCGCATCCAGATGCGCCAAGACACTGGTTGCTGCTGCCTAGAGGAAACCTTGAATAGGCTATCCCCTGTTCCGAGTGGCATTCTCTCTCTCCATAAACAATCGCCATGTCAATGGAAGTTGTGCCGCTCCAGCCCCCAAAATGTAGACACTCGTCGCTGAGCGTGACGTCCTCAGCTCACGCCGCTGAAGTACGCTATCGCAGGCCTACAGCAAGCCAGCGAGCCGCCGCAGCCACTCTAAATGGCTGGAGGAAGAAAGGCACAAAGCTGTCCGATTACTCCTCGACATATCCGGCTCCGTTGGTGCTGCCGGACGATGATCTAGCAGTGGATCCTGAGTACCCTCCCCAAAGCGTACGCCAGTGGCTGGAAGAGGAGGATCGTAACGAGGTTACGCCTAAGAAGAACGTCGTCTATGTAGCCGTGCCGCCAGAAACGGAGAAGGACAATGACTTTATCAGAATATGGACGCAGCCGCAGCTGGAGGGTACTGAGCAAGCTATCAATATGCCATCTGTCCAGGATCTTGTGGATTATCTAACTGCATTCTACCACGGCATAACCGTCAGGCTGCTGCCACCTCCCCGGCTCCGGTTCCAGAGCTGGAACGATGGTACTGGGAGGACGTCGAAACGAACTGCAAAGGCGAAGTCCGCAGCACCACGTCAGATTGGCCTCGACACCGCAAAGGGGCGTTTTCCAATCCGCACGCGGGCTTCCAAAGACCGACTGTACGAGCGGCAATTTAATCTGGATGATCTTCTTGACGCAGCTATCGGCATCCTTCCGGATGACGCATATGCGCTTTTGCTGGTCGTGGATCATGACCTTTACGAGGACGAGGACGATGTGTTCGTATGCGGCCGTGCATACGGAGGCAGCCGTGTGGCAGTTGTCTCGACGGCTAGGTACAACCCGCTGCTGGACGGCGTCCAGGGAGTCGAGCGAGAACATGCGTGGCCGGCGTCACACTGCGAAGCTTACTTCCAGGACTGCTGCGATGCAGCAGAGCCTCAGCAATCTGCCAAAAAGAAAGTAAAAGCAAGGGAAGCTGAACCAGATCGACTTGAGGAAGGCGCAGAAACACCCCTACGGGCCGCCGTCACCGCATATACCGCTCTACCCTCACTCTCTTCCCGTCCTTCGGTCGCCGCACTCTCCAGCCTCTGGCTCAATCGCGTCTGTCGTACAGGCAGCCACGAGCTTGCCCACTGCTTGGGGATAGATCACTGCGTTTACTATGCCTGCATCATGCAGGGTAGCTCGTCTATCAGAGAAGACGCTCGGCAGCCGCCGTATCTCTGCCCGATCGACATGGCGAAGTTGGTCAGGGCGACTGGGACGGATGAGTGGGAACGGTATCGGGCTCTGCTGGGGGTCTGCGAGAAGCGTTGCGAGACCCATGGATTTGCCGCTTTTGGCGCGTGGATCACCGCGAGGCTTGCCGTGGCAGGAGGTACAAATTCGGTTTGACGGTTTGATAGATTCATGTCCGTGTAACTACAAAAAGCGATTCAATATCTTGCTCCATTTACGCAACACATTGCCTGTAACCAAGCCTGGCTCAGGGGTTGCTTCAGTCACGTGCGGTCTCCTTTTTATCTGATCCGCGGTTCGTCGGAAATACGCCGATCCCCCGCCTATCGGCTGCCGCTGTCACGAGAACCCCTGCCACCAAACAGCAACTCCTTCTACTCTGTCTCCGCTGTCTCCGCTGTCTCCGCTATTTTGTCACTGCCAACATGCCGCCTTATTTCTTTTGCTTTTTCCCTACCTTGCTTGGTCACTCTCTTCGATATTCGTACTCTCAGAACCCATGGCTGCCCCTGAAGCCCTCCGGGGCTTACGGATCCTACTCAGAGCCGCGCATCGGCCGCGAAGCACGTTGAACATTAAGCGTGTTATATGCGCCGATTGCATACGTGCCTTGCACTTGAATGCGCGACCATGTGTACGAGTACTGCCAGTTAGAGGAGGTGCGCCTCGAAGGGCTGCGTGGAAGAGAGGACATATACAAAACATACTTTCTAGAGGCCTAGCTACGGTACAAGGTAGACTAGGTAGCCCTCGGTCAGCCAACGCAACCCGAGGCTGACAGGTTGAGTTAAGCAGACAGTCCGCCTACTCGGGGACCGATAGCGGAGTATGATTACCGGGTGGAGACCGGGAGGCTGCGAGATGATGCCCACCAGCGGAGTGTGTAAAGCCTGCAATAGCATTATGCGCCAGCGTCGCTGACGATAGAATCAGCACTCATAGAGAGCCTGCAAGACTTACATGACATGCTGGCCGAGTATACCCCTCCAGCGGTTGTCCACCCGACCATTGAATCCCTCCAACCTAGGAAACGGTCCTTTCTCTCCTCTCTTTTCGGTTCCGCACCGCACAGAAAGCAGGGTTTCGAGTTACCGTCAAACCTTCCGAAAGGCCTCTATATGTACGGCGATGTCGGCAGCGGCAAGACTATGCTCATGGACCTTTTCTACGACACACTACCCCCGAATATCAAGTACAAGACGCGTATACACTTCCACAACTTCATGCAAGAGGTTCACCGAGAGCTGCACAAGATGAAGATAGCTCATGGTAACGACATCGACGCCATACCTTTCGTGGCTGCCAATATAGCTGCGAAAGCCACCGTCCTCTGCTTTGACGAGTTTCAGTGCACCGACGTGGCAGACGCTATGATATTACGACGGTACCCTGCCCTTAACAGCCTCTACAAACCGCATCCTTCTGACATTGCCTCAGCCTAATGGAATCCCTAATGTCCCACGGCACCGTCCTCGTCACAACTTCCAACCGCCACCCCACCGAACTCTACAAAAACGGCATCCAGCGCGAATCCTTCATCCCCTGCATCAACCTTCTCCTCAACCGGCTCACAGTGCTCAACCTCGACTCCAGTACCGACTACCGCAAGATTCCCCGGCCGCCCTCCGGGGTGTACCACCACCCGCTCGACAAAGCCGCTGCCACGCACGCTGAGCGCTGGTTCGCCTTCCTGGGCGACTTCGAGCGCGACCCGCCGCACGCCGCCGTGCACCAAGTCTGGGGCCGGGACATTACGGTGCCCCGAGCGAGCGGCACAGCAGCCATGTACAGGTTCGATGAGCTGATCGGACGGGCTACAGGGGCGGCGGACTACATAGAACTGGTGCGCAACTACGAGGGATTTGTGGTGACGGACGTGCCGGGGATGAACCACCGGAGCCGCGACCTGGCGAGGAGATTCATCACGTTCATCGACGCGGTGTACGAGGGACGCGCGAAGCTGGCGATGACGATGGCGGTGCCGTTAAGCGAGCTATTTATGAGCCACGAGGAGGTCGGGGAGGCGCTGGGCAACTCGTCGACGAAGCAGAGGGAGAAGATGGGCGGCGAGCATGCGGATGTGGACGATGCGATGAGGATGATGATGGATGACTTGGGCATGAGTATGAGCATGCTGAAGAACAGCAACATATTCACTGGCGATGAGGAGAGGTTTGCGTTTGCGCGGGCGCTGAGCAGGCTCAGTGAGATGGGGAGCCAGGAGTGGGTCGAACGGGGAATGGGGCTTGAACACAAGGGTGGAAGGGGAGAGAAGGAGGGCTGGCAGAGGGTCAGGTCGAGATGGCGGGAGGATAGCATGTAGGTGTGATTGTAGACGCCTTCACAACCTGGAGAGAGGCTTTTCAGGTTGTCGGGGCTCTGGACAGCTTTCGCTAGCATTTCAAGGGGACTGGACCGCAATGGCCTCTCTCTGGGCTCTCTCTGGGCTCTCTCTGGCCTATGGCTGAAGGCTGTGTGGTGTTGCTGTTGAGAGAGCTGGCTGGAGTGGCTGGCCCTGGCTGGCCGCGGAACTGCACTCGAGCGATGGATTAGATTAGATGGCCAGGTGGACGCGACCAAGGGACCCACGCGACGCGCCTGCCGCCAAGATTCCGCACTCGACTCGACAGCAGCTCTTGAGCCAGCAGCTCTTGAGCCACACTGTGATGCTCGACCGCCCACGAAAGGCACTAAAGGCACTCCCTCATCCTCACTCCCTGCACCTCCAATGGCCCGATAATGCCCCCACGACGTTCGCCCCGTCTCCCGACTCTCTACTGCCTTGCTACCCCTCTGCTTGACGACGGTAGTCATGGACGCTTCTCCCAGATCAACGAAGCGGAGGAAGCTCGATACATCTGACACGCCCACGCCCACCCCCGCTCGGAGCTCAGCAATTCCCCATACCCCAGCAACAGGCACCCTTAAGCGACCGACCAGGAGCAGCACTCGTCGGTCAGCAGTCAATGGCTCAGGCGCGAGCACCGAGAGGCTCACACTGGATGAGACCAACACTGGAGCTGGAACTGCTAGCTCGCCGATAGTCGCGGCGAATGCAACTCAGCGTGAAGGGCGCAAGAACCCGGAGAACGAGGCGGATGTCTACGACGATATTGACGGGGCATTGACCGGAGATGCGCCCTCAAAACATCTCCGTAAACGCCTGGCAGGAACTACAAACGGAAGCGAACCCATAGCCGCCCAGACCCCGGCGCGCAGAAAATTCACGCGCGGGAAGCCAACTACTGCCCAAGCCAACAACACTCCCCAGAAACCAGCACAGGATGGGGAGGATGAACTGGCCGTCGCACGACGCTCAGGCAGTCGAAGGGCAAGATTACTTGCCGAGTTCAAGCCAGTTACAGGAACGTCGCCGAAGAAGACCGAAACTCCGTCCGGGCGAAACCGACAAGCAAAAGATGGGGAAGCAGCAGCAGCATCGAAGGAGCTAGAGGCAGCAGAGATTCCCAAGCCACAAGATGAGGCAGACAGTACGTCGGCGAAGCGCAAGAGAACAACTTCGTCACGATTAAATACTCGAAGAAGCATTGGTGTGGTCGCTGAGCGACCTAGTGAATCTGCGCAGCTATCAGCAACACGGGAGATCCGCGGGCGGGCGAAGGTTCCGGATAACGTCGAGGACGTGTCCGAAGACGAGGCGGTTCAAGAGTCTATTATAAACATTCCTGAAGGTACTGCCGGTGGCACAACGCCGAGGCGCCCCAATAGAAAGATCCATAGGCTAGATTGTCATGTTCATGAAGCGGAAACGGTGGAACATGAACGGAGCCCCGGCACTGTAGAACAAGCAAAGGTGCCTCGAAAGAAAACCCCCAGCAGGGAGCAAACTACGATTGCAAAGAACCGGGGGATAGAACTGGATGTTGATTCTCCGAAGCCGCAGATCAGCAGATTCTTCGGACGATTGCTTGGAAACGACCAACCAAGGTCACCACGGGTCGTCAGACGGAATGCTGCCAACACGCCCGCATACTTGAAGGAGCAGACAGAAGATACAAGCCAAGGCGGCGATGACCCGGACAGTGATCGAACTGCTTCACCGATGGTGTCTTCTGCGACATCCCCTCCCTCGACTCGAGCCGAATTTGCCCCTGAGGAGAACAATCTTGTACTAGCGGGCTCTAAAGCACAATCAGAGCGTCGGACCCTCAGCGATGGCGGTCCAGCAAAGCTGCTTGTAACGCTCGTCATGAAGAAACTGACAGGGAAACGACCGATACCTTTAGTCGGCCTTGATGATGAATACAGTAAAGTATACCAACTGGTGGAACAGACAGTGAACGCCGGAGAGGGGAACTCCATGCTGCTCATTGGCTCAAGGGGCAGTGGTAAGAGCGCGCTGGTCAACAAAGTACTGAAGGAACTGTCGAAAGACAACCGCGAGAACTTCCACGTCGTCCGCCTCAACGGGTTCATCCATACCGACGATAAGTTAGCGTTACGTGAAGTGTGGAGGCAGCTTGGAAAGGAGATGGATCTGGAAGAAGATGCGCTTGGCAAGAACTACGCGGACACGCTCTCGAAACTGCTGGCTCTACTGTCTCATCCGTCGGAGCTTGCAGGCGAGGAGTCTGACCAGGTCGCCAAAGCTGTGGTTTTCGTAATGGATGAGTTCGATCTGTTTGCTTCGCATCCTCGCCAGACGCTGCTGTACAATTTGTTTGACATTGCACAGTCCAGGAAGGCTCCGATTGCGGTGTTGGGATTAACGACTAAGATTGATGTGTCAGAGAGTCTGGAGAAGCGTGTCAAAAGTCGATTCAGTCACCGTTATGTCCATTTGTCAGTCGCGAAGAACTTCCAGGCCTTCCAGGAGATATGCAAATCAGCGCTTCAGATCAAACTAGAAGAGCTAACTATCGAGGAGCGAGCCATACTCACGCAGCCTGCGAAGGCACCACAAAAAGGCAGAGGGCCGAAAGAGATGTCCACGTCAGATGTTCTGACTGGCTGGAACTCATCCATATCAGTAGGTCTGAACCAATCCTATTTACTAGCCCCTTTTTAACGTATCTATAGTCTCTCTTCGCCGACGCATCTTTCCTCAACAGGCATCTCGCGCCCCACTACCACCTCACAAAATCCGTTCCCTCAGCTCTCTCAACCTTCCTCCTCTCCATCTCCCACCTCTCTACCACATCCAACCCCTACCTCTCACCAGCCTTCTTCCCGCCCTCCTCCGCTCCCTCAACAATCCTCACACCCCCAGACTCCTCCCTCTCCCTCATCCCCACCCTCCCAACCCTTGCCCTCGCCCTCCTAATCGCCGCCGCCCGCCTCGACATCATCCTCGACACCCCAACCACAAACTTCAACATGACCTACGCCGAGTACGTGTCTCTGGCCTCCACGGCGCGGACCCAGAGCGCCGCCGGCGGCGCACTGGCGACTGGCGGCGTGGGGGGCAGGGTCTGGGGGCGGGATGTTGCGAGCGCCGAGTGGGAGAGGCTTGTGGGGTGCGGGCTGTTGGTTCCGGTGTCAGCCGGGGGAAGCAGCGTGACGGCTACGGGGATGGTGCGGTGCGATGTTAGTTTGAAGGAAATTGGGGCGGTTGAGGGGTTGGAGGGAGGGATGGTGAAGTGGTGTCGACAGATTTGATACCATGTTTGGACTCAACATGTACAGAGCATTTATGGAGCAGCACGCGGATGATAGGAAGCGCTGGACTCCAGAATCACCGAAATTTATCGTCTTCACAATGTTTCTGAACTGAGCCGCCTGATACCAAGTGAACGAAAAGGTAACATGGAGCACAACACGCAAATCAATCGACCTTTCCGTTAGCACCACCAACATTGCCCAACAACCCCTCTTTTTCATTCAGTTGAAAAAAGCCCCCGTTCCTCCTTCGCATCCTTGAGCGGCCCCAGATAGAACCACCCACAAGCACGACAAGGCCCATGGCGAGAGCGAGATACGGATGCCCAGAGCAGATCTGACGAATGCGGAAGAAGAAGTGCTCGATAGAGCTGACGGTTGATTTCGGACTCAGCTTTGGCGGAGAGGCGACTACGTTCTTGAGGGTTTCGAGGATAGAGGTGCGGGATGGGACGATGGGGTTACCCGTTATCGTTTGGTCCCAGTAGCGGCGGTTCTGCGGCTGTTGTCAGCGTAACTCTTCAGTAGTGTATTAGAGAAAACCTACATCTTCATCGTTAATGATCACCCGCTCGCCTTCCTTGACCGTGATACCGAAAGTCGTCCTGATCCACCTCTCCCAGAAAACGCCATCCACCCACGCAAAGCGAACTTCCTTCCTGGGTATCTCGTCCATGTTAATCCTGATGCTCTTCGCCGCCCTCAACGCTCTTTGATCATTTCTATCCTCGGCCTCCTCGATCCTAAGCTGTTTCGCGTCGCGCAGCTCCTGGCGCTCCAGCTGAAACGCCTTCGTCTGCTTGTCGATCCACTCGAGTGCCGCGTTTTTGATCTCGCGTTTGGCGACGACAAACTCGTCGGCCCGGTCACGCGAGAGTATTCCGAGGACGACGTAGGCACCGTCCATTATCTCGCGCGCGTTGCTAGAGGACAGCTCAGGGACGATAGGGAGCCAGTTCTTTTGCATCCAGCTCAGGACCGCGCGGAAGTCGCGCGTGTCTTTTGGCGCAAGCGCTGTATAGTACGTTGGTACGCCATCTCTGGATACAAGCAGTCGCGGCCATGTGCTGATCTTGAAGCGCTCGTTCAGCTTCGCATCTTTGGACTTGACGAGCTTGGCGTGCCCTATCAAGCTGAGCGTGAGGCGCTCCAATGCCTGGAAGTCCTCGGAGGTGGTGGCGTGGTCGTAAAGATACAGGAAGATGACTTCTTCCTTCTCCTCCATGGCTGAGAATGCGGCGGCATCAACGTCTACAACGCCCGTCCCGCTCTCAACAGCCGTTTCCGCAAAGGCGATGAGGTCACCGACGCCACGGAGTCCGTCGTACTCGACCCTTTCGCCGCCGCGGAAGAAGTGCATGGTAGGGTAGCCCCGCACTCCGGCGTCCTTGCAGAGGCGCTTCTCGATATCACAATTCACCTCTCCAACATTGAGTTTGCCTTTCATCTCGCGCGCCATCTGTGACCAGTTGGGCGCCACGGCCTGGCAGTGATGGCACCACGGAGCGTAGAATTTGATGAACCACGGCTCGCGGGTAGTGGTCACGAGCTTCTGGAACTTCTCCGCAGTCAGTGGCATCGACGTGCCGGCCGGGTTCGGGTGGTAGTCTGACTCCAACGTGGCACTGGAGGTCTTTGCTGGTGAGGCAGAGGAAACGCTTGCACTGGCCAGCGCATTCTGCTTTGAGGCTGCAGCAGCACCGGCGGCTGGGTCTTTGCCTTTGGCTTCAGAACCATCGGGTTTGGCTCCTCCTTCCACCTCTTTCGCACCGACTTTGGGCAGCTTCACACCACCTGCTGGTCGTGAGCCTGGACGGATGGACTCGAGGGTCTCTTCAACCCATTTGCTCAATTCTTTCAAGCTCTGTGTGCCAACTTTGCTCTTCACGAGCTCGCCGTTTTTGAATAATGCGAGTGTGGGAAAGGATTGCACCTTCTTCGCGCCGCATGCGTCGCCATAGGCTATGCAGTCAAGCTTTGCGAACTTCAGATCGTAGAAGCGGGTGAAGGTGTTGAGAGAATCGGCGCCCTCCTTTTCCTTGGAGGTTGGAACGGGTTTGGAGGTGTAGTAGAACTCGTATAGGGTCTGGTATATGGGCGCTTGTTTTATGCAGTGGCCGCAGTAAGGAGAGAAGAACTCGACGAACCTACGTTACGAGCACAAGATGTCAGCTTGTGCGCTCAACGGCTGGGTGTTGTCCCTCGGCGACTGCGCACCAGTAGCCCTTGCTGATATCCTCATCGAGCGTCGCACCCTTCAGCTCTCTCATAGGCGGCACCGTTTGGCCATTGAACACAGTGGGGGCATGCGTGGAAGCAGGAGAGGCAGCAGGAGCGACAGGCGCAACGGGTATCTCTGCTGCCTTTTCCGGCGCCGGATCAGCCTCTACCTGCGGCACGGCCAGCACGGGCGAGAGGAGGGCGAGGGCAGACAGGAGCCGCCAGCGCATTTTCGAGACGCGGCGCTCCGAGCGCACGAGGGTCTCTCTGTAGTCGAACCGGGACTCGGATGTTTGTTGCCTGTTCTCTCGGGTTGCTATATAATCTTACACTGTCGCTGGTTGAGGGGCAAGGTTGGGAGGCGCAAGCCGCGATCAGGAGGTTCGATGGACGTTGAGCCGACGGGGCGGTAGGTGTACGTGGAATATGCGGTTCCCAAAGCGAGAGCGATGGTCGTCGCAGTAGTGCTTGCGGTGGCAGTGGTAGTTGTAGTGTAGGAGACTGTTAGTTACTGTTGTCTTCTCCTCGTTGCGGACCTTTGTCGTGCCTGATCCTCGCCTTCGACCACGGAAACGGCCCGCCAATCCCATCCCGTTCAGTCCCAAAACGTCACCTGCAGCGACTTGCACCACCAAACATAAGTAGCTCCAAGCACTACCACCCAGCAAGCAATCCACCATCACATCCGTCTCGCGAGCGCTCAATTACCCTCCGCAGATATGAGGCCAGCACTTCGCCTCCTCGCCGCCGTGAAGCCCGGCCAATTCCTCGAGTCTGGCGCACCCACCGGGCTCACCGGCCTCTTCACCCACCCGTCCCCGCGCTCGACCCTCATATACCTCTACAGCGGCACCCTTGACAAGCTGAAAGCGGTCCCCGAATACAGCGTCTATCGCCAGTCCACCGAAGCCCTCACCCGCCACCGCCTGTCCATCATCGAGTCCGTCAAGCCCGAGGGCTTCGACCAGTGGGCCGCCCGCGTGAGGAAGCAGATCGAGGCGCATCCCGACGCCTTTGAGAAGCATGGCACGGGCATCAAGCACTCGGCGGCGGGGAAGGACTTCGTGACGACCAGGTATGCCGAGGAGGTGGATGAGAGGGAGGAGGAGTGGGATAGCGAGCCGATCGAAGCCCCGGAGCTGGAGGGAGTGAGGAATAGCGCGGAGAGGAAGGGGCAGGCGGAAGCGATGCAGAAGGAGCCAGCAATGGCTGAGACGGTGGCACGAGAGTTTATGCTGGAGCCGGAGCCGCCTTTGACGATGGAGCAGTAGGTTGCCCTTGCTACTGAAAGAGTTGGGGGGCTTGCATGCTGCTTTTTGACAACGCGGTTGGATTACCGACTTTTCTCAGCGCTGACTGCTGTAGGGTCAATGACTTGGAGAACCGGATTGGTGCCGGTCTGATCGAAGAGGTGATTCAAGTCGCCGAGGGCGAGTATCAACTGGTGGACAAGATGGTTGAGAGCAAGGTGTAAGTTACACTCACCTAGTCCTTCCGTTCCAGATGCTGACTCGCTGTTAGATGGGAAGAGCTAGAAGAGAAGGCTCCTGAAGGCCAATGGTCGTACTTCGAGCGTGGCGGCGCTCGCACCTCGACGCAGGCGCCTTGAGACGGTCCCTGATGTGCACCCTCTGTATATATGCAATTGGCGATCCTTTAGTCAATCGAATTACCATCTATATGACGACCCTCTAGGCGTACTAGTTGCGCGCACGTCTGTGAAGCTCCCTCCACCGGCTCTCTTTCGAAGCTTACCTCTACTCGTATACGTCCTACACCAGTCACAGCATGGAGCCTGCATGTCCCCCTATACGTTGTGCTTTTCGGGACAGCTCTGCGAGCTTCACGAGAGGTGGGATGTATGCAGTTAGACAGGTTAGAAGTTATCTCAAGGCGTCAGCTACTAATATTAAGTGCCATACCATATCCGCAGTCCGTCACTTCACATGCCTCGCGCTAGGACGATGAAAACATGGATGTAACCGCTACTCATATTCTGCGAGCTGCCGTTCAGCCTTTGGATACAGCAGTAATCACCACGCTCTTTATGCATTCTTGTGATCATCCCAAGCCGGTGCAATGAGACCCACATGCTCGATGCTTGGAGTCCAAAACATGCAACAGCAGAAGCGCAGCAGCCGGCGATACTCGACTCCACATCCTAGGTGCGCCCCGAACGCCTTCGCAATGTAACACTAAAATCAAGACGTACAGCCAATCGCTAACACTGGTCACGCCTCAACCTCCTCGGCCTCACTTTTCTTCTTCCTCTTCTTCTCCTCTCCATCCTCACCCTCCTTTCTCTTCCGCTTTTTCTCTCTCACCACACCATCCTCCTTCGGCGGCACAAACTCCTTCTGCCTCTCCTTCCTCTTCTCCGCCATCTTCTCCCGCATCGCCTCCTCCCTCTGTTCCCTCTCCCTCCTCTCCCTCGCCTGCTTGCCCAGAAAGTACTCGCCGCTCTCGATCTGCAGGTCCACCTTGCTCTTCTCCTGCGGTGGCGGAAACGGCGTGTAGACCTTCTTACTCTTGTCCGTAACCTTATGCGGCATCCTCCTCTTACTTAGATTCCGCTTCTTGAAGTTCGGCAGGAACCGCTCCCAGCTCTCGTTCACCAGCTCGGGGTCCTTGGCTAGTTCGCGCTTGATCATGAGCTCCTTGACGTGGTATATCGGGTGGACGTTAGCCATGCAGTCGTTGATGATCCTCCGTACTTCTTTGAGGCCCTTGTATGGCCCCATGGCACTCACGGTGTTGCCTTGCACTAGTATGTAGCACCCCGTGAGCAGTTCTAGCGCTTTGAGCGTCGATCCGTTCGGGCCCAAGATCCGCTGCCGCCTCTTGACGAACCGCTCCTTGTTCCGCACCAGATTCCTAATCTTGATGATGTCGGCCGCAACCCCGTCGTCCAGTATCTTGACCGCCTGCTGAGCTGGTACACTCCGCGCCAACAGCCTGATGAGATCCCTTGCGTTGAGGATAGCGGCTGGATCAAACGTCTTGCGCGTCGTCTTGACGGTCATACTTCCCTCGACGAGATCCAGCGTGCACGCTATACCGTGCTTCTCGAGCGCTCGGGTGATGTAGGGCCATGATTCGCGGAGATAGACTTCTCGGTATTTGGGGAAGAGGGTGGCGAAGGAGGATTCTTCGGCGAAGGTGCCGCCTAGGTTGTCGGTGGACTTGAACTCGTCGATTTTCCATTTGTCTATGTCGTCGGTGTCTGCGGGGATTAGTGGTGCGCGCTATAGGGTGTGAGATGAAGGGCGCGTACCCCAAGGCTTCTCCTTCTTGTACGTGGAGGGCATTGCGCCTTCGGCTGTGAGCTGGAAGTCTGCGGGCCTACAAGCTGTATCGTGAGGCGGAAGGCGCTGCGACGGGGGCAAAGTTTGGCGAAAGATACTTTTGGCGAGGCTTATGCTGTCCAAGGAGTGTAGGTTGTTTTCACTGTGGGGGTGTGGGGGAGTACGGCAGCTTGAGAAAAGTGAAGATGAAGATGCAGATTCGGGGACGGGTCAAGCAGTCAAGCAAAGGCGGTGGCAGAACAGAACCTGACTCGAGCTGCACCTTCTGCCAAGGCTTCGACCTCGGGCGTCATGTCTGTGCAAAACAGCTACAACGCATCGCCTATTTTCACTTTTCACTTTTCAATTTTCACTTTTCACCCTCGACTTAGCCAACACGTTGTCTAGCTGCAGTCCTCAATGGCGAGCTCCGCCATCAGGCCGCGCGTCTTTCTGGACGTCCATGTCGCAGAGGAACCGGCTGGAAGACTGGTTGTGGAGCTCTTCGCCGACAAGGCGCCAAAAACATGCGAGAAGTGTGTCGGCCTCAGTCCAGTCGCCCATGCCCCATGACAGGTTGAGCTGACTTTGCCCTAGCTTTCGCGCCCTATGTACAGGCTCCAACCCGACATTGACCTACAAGATGTCGCCCATTCACCGTATAATCGACGAGTTCATGATCCAAGGCGGGGATATTACAAAAGGCGATGGCACTGGCGGAGACTCAATATACGGCGGAGAATTCGACGACGAGAACATTGGTTGGAGGGAAATTGATACAGCAGGCTTGGTCTGCATGGCCAATCGGGGGAAGAACACGAACAGTAGTCAGTATGCGGCGCCAAGTGCTATCCTTCGACCGCCGGATGCCTACGCGGGTTGTGAAGCTATGGAGGGCTAACAAGGCGGTACGGACAGATTTTTCATTACCCTAGCTCCTTGCCCACACCTCAATGCCAAACACACTGCCTTCGGACACGTCGTCTCAGGCCAAGCCGTCCTCGATCGCCTGGCTGCACTCCCCGTGGACAAGAATGACAGACCCACTAAGCCCGTACTGATCGCCAATTGCGGCGAACTCGAGCGGCGCAAAAAGGCTCCCACCGCAGCAACCTTAGTCCCCTCGACCACAAACACCGACACCTCCGCCTCCCGCGGCCGCCGCAAGCGCAGGCGGTCAGGCTCCCCATCCCGCTCTCCATCGACCTCAGGAGGACACATGCGGCGCTCGGCATCGCGACACCACCATCGGCACAGAAAATCTCGCCGGTCCAGCTCAACCTCTCGGTCGCGGTCGCGGTCGCGCTCCCCTCCCCCACCACGGGCGAAAGACCGCCGCCGCAGTGACGCCCTTCCAGACGAGACTCTACGCGGCCGACCTCGGCAACGGTCACGGGGTAGCACTCACTCGCTGTCACATGGGAGCGGGAGTCCCCCGTTTAGGCACCGGAGGAAAAGGAGCACGCCGCCTTCGCGATCGCCTTCGCCCGCACAGAGGAAGAGTCGTGAGCGTGATCGTGAAAGGGAGTATGAGGTGAGCGCGCAGCGTGACAATAGCCCTGGATTTAGAAGACAGAGAAGTCTGCCGAATCAGTATCGGTGGGACGGGAGAGACGGTGGAGGTGGGAGGGATGGGAAATATAGGGACAGGGACGCTGAGAGGATGAAGTATGCGCGGGAGGATGAAGGGAGATTAGGTGGTGGTGAGCTTGATGCTGGGCCCGACGGGGGAGGGATTGTATATAAGGGCAGGGGGAGTATGAAATACCGAGAGAGGAGGTGGTGAGCCGGTTGAGGTTGGTATGTGTGGCAGGCGTCGGAGTGGAACTTGAGTTGAAGACTGCGAGGTTTGCAGGCTTCTTATCGAGATACCCAAATTGCTGACTGTAGAGATATTCAGCAGCCTCAGTGAGTGTAAGGACAGTGTACTGTACCATATCGAAAAGGCGGTATCTTTTTTGTCCTTAATAAAGATCATCGTAAGATAGGCGAAATGGACGGATAGCAGAACTAGAAGCAATTTCATTGAGAGAATCGTTTGAAGGCAGCTCACGACTCGGCGAGGCGGTTTCTGGACGTTGCTATCAACATGGCCTTGCCATCCGTTCTTGAGATGTAGCGACCGAGTGCGATGCTGTGTCCCTTCGACTACGTAATTTTCGCTGTGCCTAAGAGTGTCGAGGAGTGTTGTCTGGCCTTCCCTCGTGACCATAATCATTATGTCCGTTGCATGCCAGTACACAGTCTCCTCCTACTAACATCCACCCTTTGATCTGCTCTCGTCATCGGACGTACCAGCCCCATTGGCTCAGCATCCACGCCAGACTACCCGTAGACACGAACACTGGGCCCGCAAGACCAGCACCCCATCTAGCGGTTCCGAAGTACAGCCACTCGCTGAAGAAGTGAAAGCCGGCAACGGCGTACGTCCACAGCGCCAATTGATAGACCACAGGGTCGTCAATGTTATAGGCAGCGTAAAGGCGTATGATACTGGACAGAAGCGTCCAGGTACCGAAAGTGCGTGCTGATAAGGGTGTTACTGGGGACACGGTGGTGAGGTTTGGCGTCGTTGGCGAGGGCTTGAGTGAGGAGTTCTTGGAGGATGGCGAGGTGGTGCCGGAGTAGACGCGTGCGGTGTATGTGAGGGTGGCATATGCCTGAGCACTGTTGGCTACGGAGACGATTGATACCTACGGTCTGTTAACGTGTTCCTGGGGAGAGATAGATGGAGGTGAATTGAATTGAGGTATACCAGAAGCAGCCAGTTGGGAAGAAGACCTTGGTGAGGTGGAAGAAGCGATGCTACCATAGACGCCATTGTACTGACCGGGAATGCCTTCTTGTCGAGCAATGGTGAGAGGAGAGGGTGTGGAGGATATCAGCACTGATGGTTCAATTCGCCCGCCGAGAGTTCAAGGGTCGCTCAGTCCCAACACCACTTGAGCGCCATCTTCGCTGAAAGCAGCATATCTCAGGAATCAAGCTTCTCACCATGGATGACTTCCTCCCGCCATCTGTGTTACTGCCCTTCGCCGCTGTAGGTCTAGCCCTCGTCCTCTACAAGCTCGCGGCCTTTTTCCGCATGCTCTTGAGCCTCTTTGTTTTGCCAGGCCAGCCTGTAAGTTCACTGCTTCCAACGACGAAATTGCGGCGATCCGCTTGCTGATGGGATACACAGGTCCAGAAATTTGGCCGGAAAGGGTCTTGGGCAGTAGTAACCGGCGCCTCCGACGGCATCGGCAAAGAATTCTCGCTCCAGCTTGCGGCCAAAGGCTTCAACGTCCTGCTCATCTCCCGTACCCAATCCAAGCTCGATGCCCTTGCGCAAGACATCTCGTCCAGATATGACGTCGAGGCGAAAGTCTACGCCATGGACTTCGCCCGAAACGACGACCGAGATTATCAGAACCTCAGCAGTATCCTCGCAGACCTCCCGGATGTCTCAATCCTCGTCAACAACGTGGGCCTCAGCCACAGCATACCCGTGCCGTTTGCACAGACCCCGGAGGACGAGATGAAGGACATTATCACCATCAATTGCATCGGCACGTTACGGATGACGAAGCTTGTTACCCCGATCCTCATCCAGCGCAAACGCGGGCTTATCCTGACGATGGCCTCCTTCGGCGGCGTTCTACCCACACCCCTGCTGGCAACTTATAGCGGCTCCAAGGCGTTCCTCCAGCACTGGTCGTCGGCTCTCGGCTCGGAACTCGCACCGTACAACATCAGGGTGCAGCTTGTGCAGTCCTACCTCGTCACCTCCGCTATGAGCAAAATCAAGAGGCCGAGCATGATGGTCCCGACGCCGAAGCAGTTCGTGAGGGCGGCATTGAGCAAAGTCGGGAGGAGTGGGGGAGCGAGTGGGATTGCGTATACCTGTGCGCCGTACTGGAGTCACGGGATCATGTTATGGGCATTGGAGACTTTTGTCGGGACGCGGAATAAATTCGTCATTGATTTCAACAAAAAAATGCATGAGGACATTAGGAAAAGGGCTCTGAGGAAGGCGGAAAGGGAGGGCAAAAAGATCGAATGAGCCGGGAATATAGCTGGGTCCAGAATTCACTCAGTGGCGAAGGCGGGCCGCGTGAACGGCCCAATGGCGGCGAGCAGCGGGCACGCCAATGTCCACAGGAAGGGATGCGGACGTCAAGACGCTCACGGTGTTCGCCTTGTGCGCCCAGCTTCTCCCAACGCAGCACTCAGAGCAAGACCGGCAGGATGTGGGAGAGACTACGGATCTATCAACCTCCTATGTCCACTATTCCAGCTTCTTACGGTAGAGCTCTCCTCCGCAGTTCTTCAGCCGTGCGGCCGCCTGCTCAGGCGTAATGTCCCGTTGCGGTTCTGCCATCATCTCGTAGCCCACCAAAAACTTCCTGACCGTCGCGCTCCGCAGCAATGGCGGATAGAAGTGGACGTGAAAATGACTCGCTTCAATCTCTTCTTTGGTCCCATCTAGCGGTGCTTGATGGAGTCCCATGCCTACACGCTGAATCAGAATCTTGATGGTCTACTCGAAAGACATCATACCAGAACTTACTGTACGGGAAGTGCGTCTCAAAGAGATTGTCATACCTCCTCGTCACCTCCGCCAAACACTCGGCCAACGCCTCCCTCTCCCCCGCTCCAAAATCCACCAACGCCCGCTTGTGCTGCTTACTCACAATCATGACCTCAAACGGCCACGTCCCCCACCACGGACACACAGCCAGAAACGATCCGTTCTCGTACACCACGCGTTCCTGCTTCGAGGCCTCCAGCGTCGCATAATCCTCAAGCATGTTTGCCCCACCTTGCTCCCTCCGATATTTTTGCAGCTGTGTAAGCTCGAGGGCAGGTTCTTCGGGCAGGCCCGTCGTCACCCAAGCCTGGCCATGCGGGTGCGGATTGCTGCAGCCCATGGCCGCGCCCTTGTTCTCGAAGATCTGCATATATCTGTACTGGGAGTTTGGCGCCCAGGGGTTATCGTCATGGCCATGAGGTGCAAGCGTAGTCGCTCGAGCAACTTGCGCGAGGGGGCTGTGCGGGGAGAGATGGGCCGTGTAGAGGCTTGTCCATGCTTCGATTACCGGCACGATTTCGGGGGGTGAGAGGTCGGCGAGGGTGAGGTTGTGCCGGGGGGAGAAGGTTATAACGTAGCATTTACCTGTGACGGATTCGGCGCGGAGGAAGCGAGCCGAGAGGCCTGATACGGAAGTCAGCTTGCCTGTTGCGGTCTGTGGGGCGGTGGAGGTTGAGCGCGTACCGCCATCCTGGTCTTGAGGCTTGTAGTCTGCTTGCTCTTCTTTCACGGCGCTGTAGTCGTTGACGAAGATGAAGGTGCTCTCGTACTTCGGGTTCACATCGCCCTGGGCGCGCTTGTTTCCGGGGCAGAGGTAGCACTGGAGTGTGTTCAGTGCTTGGCCCTCGGTACATGGTCCACAGTTCTCACGGATGGATCATGGTCTGGCAGCGTCGTCTTCGAGGCGGCTTCTTGCTGGCCCCTACGCGAGATTAGACCCTGTTCTCAGAGACGTTGAAGCTGCTCTGCTCGCTTACTGCCAGGGCCTTTTCGTCCGGTGGGGGGACACTAAGATCCAACTGCCCCGCAGTGGATTGTACCGCCTGTGCGATATGTCGTCTAGAATTGCATCAGGCATGCTGAGCTCATGAGAGAATTGCTGCTAACGTGTGCCCAATGCTCTCGCCAATAGGCCTATTGTCATTCTTATAGTCAAGCTCACGGTCGAATTCTCGGACCTTGACTGATAGCTTGGACCCCGGGACTGTGGCATGGGGGGCCGCGCTAGCAAAGCCAAGAAGGGTCAAGCTTTCAACGGCGCCCGTACCGGACTAAAGCTTCGCCGAGCCTTGCGCAGGAGCTGAGCTGTGGCCGCGGTGCGGGTTGGCAGACTCGCAGAGAACCGGGCACTCACTGTAACTACTCCAGGTCGGCTTGATAGAAAAGTCAAACAACGCCGCGATTAGAACAGACGAGGGCGTCTATAGCGCGCTAGGCCGACCGCGACTTTCCACGGATTACAGCCAACCATGGCTGCGATGATGCCCAGCGCATCAACGTCCGGACATGACAACCCGTACGACAACGACGCGGTGGAGCGGGACCTGATTGATCCAGACGACGGTATACGACCTAGCGGCTTCTCGTTTGCTGCGTCTACTGATCTTTTGTAGCCGGCCTTGATGACCTCGACGACCCGCTCCAGCCAGCCTCAGACCGCGCCCCCTTAACCGGCAACATCCAGCCGCGTTCCCACCCCCGAGAAACGCAGAACTATCTCACCTCCAGCATCCCCGGCGAGGACCGAAGAGCACCGCAAAACACGATTGATGAAACGGTGTGGGAGACGCTGTCGAGAGACCTGTTCGCGGTGTGGGAGAAGATGAAGCAGGTGCTGTGGCCGAAGTATCTACTTGGTGGTATTATGCAGAGAGGCGGTGGTATTGGCGCTGCTGAGAGAGGCGAGGCTACGGGGTTCAGTGCGGAGGGAGTGAGGGGGCTGGTAGGGAGGTGGCCGGATGCCGACGTGGTGTTGCAGGGCGGGATGAGTGAGGGGCTGAGGGATTGGGATCTTTGGTGGGCGACTCTCTTGCTCGTTGCGCACAGCACCGTGCTAACCTGATGCCGATACAGGGGCCCTCTACTGTTCTGCTTGCTACTAAGTTTCCTGCTCTCAATGCGGGCACAAGAGGATCAGAAATCGCTCGTCTTCTCCGGCGTGTTCGCAATGGTATGGATTGGAGAGGCCGTCGTGACATTGCAGATCAAGCTTCTTGGTGGGAACATGTGAGTTTTCCAACCGTGATCTGGGCAATTCACTTGCTAACCGCAGCTTAGATCGTTCTTCCAGGCTGTATGCATCATCGGCTATACCCTCTTTCCGCTCGTCATTGCGGCCTTGCTGAGCGCTCTGAACCTGGTCACGATCGCGCGGATCCCGGTCTACATTGTTCTTGTCGCGTGGTCTCTAGCTGCTGGAGTTAGCATCCTGGGCGGGTCCGGCGTTGTGCGAAATCGAGTCGGCATCGCAGTATACCCCTTGCTTGTCTTTTATGTGGGGCTAGGGTGTTTGTGCTTCATCAGCTAGGCGGCTTTGCTTTTTCTTCAATATTTCTTATTTTGCAGGTTTATTACAAACACATCATAACACAATACTACAGGTGCAGAGAAGAATGCGGATATGGAACCTAGCAAATTGTATCTGGAGGCGATGTAGGATGTCCAGAGCCGCTGTCTACCTTATAGCATATAGCGGCTTTCTGAGGCCTTGTGAGAGTGAACAGGCTGGACAAGATAGCGTGCTAGCGTGAGGACATAAGTATAGAGTTCGCAAGCGTAGTTTTACATGTCTGAATCCAGCGTACGAATCTGGTTCGGTCCGAGCATGTCTTTGTGAGCAAAAATGGCAGGCGGTGTTCCAAGGCCGTCCAAGGAGATGCTGTGAGTGGCAGGGCGCCGCGCTCTGCTCCCCGCGAAGCTCCAGTCAAGTCAGAGGCCCCCACCTCACGCTCAAACACTCAAGCGCCGGTATCAAATTCGTCCTCGGCCCCCCTACTCGAGTACATCTCACCAAGCACGCCCAAGCCTCCCAGATACCTGGTTCCGCGCGCTTGTGTGGCCTGTCACGATATCCAAGATCAAGGGCGCCGCGTTGGAATAGGTGCCCGCCACGCTTTGTGCGCCAGAGTACAGCAAAGCAACGCAGCTTGCCGCTCTACGCGAAGTCGACCGCTACTCAGTCGCCGATAACACTGCGACCAGCCGCGCTTCGGGAAGACTCCTCTCTCCATCTTTGGTCACGCGGATCCTGTGCTGGCAGCTTTGGAGCCACTTTGCGGTAGGGTCAGCTTGGTGTTGGTTCTGATCTCACGAGCTGAGGTACAGTCGCTCGGTGCGTTGTTCGGTGCCACCGCCTTCTTTGAACGAGCCACACCAAAGAGACAACGCCGACTTCTGTGCGTCTCCGTGTACCAGACATACGCGAGACTGGTCCACGCTCGATCCTAGCTACTTCGCAACTTATAATCTGGCCTTCGTGGGGACCGACCTACCCTCGTGGTCGTCCCGCTTTGCCATATTGTTCGACCATAGTCTCTTTATATCTACCGCCCGGAAAGCAGACACCTCCTGCACCTGCATCCGCACCCTTACAATGGCCCGGTCAACGCAGCGATCCGGTTCGCCGCAGGCCCCCGACGAACCTACGTCACGCCCGAAGACTGTTACTTCTTCAGCGTTGGACAATGGCGCGGCAGGCAGTGATACCGAGGGCAGCGAACGACAGGCACGTGAGAAGCTAAGAGCAACGTCCATCGCTGGCCTGCCTACGGACAACATACCGGCTTCTGATGCTCCTATGGAAGATGCAGTTACGGAAGGAGAAGCCAACAAAGGGCTATCTGATCAGCCAGCCGAGAACACGCCCGTTGGACATCACGAAAGGGGCCGGTTGCGGAGGAAGCGAAGTATAGAAGACGTTGAGGAGGGTCATCCTACGGATGAGCCGCCGACAGGAAACGCTGGACGGCACGTACGCAAGAGGTCAAGAGACATTCAGTCTGGCCAGCACCTATCAAGAAGCGGTTCGCGCAAGACGTCAGGCGAACAATCGGTCCAAGAAATCAGCGAGCATGAGATGGCCGATGAGGAGACTCAGACTGCGCCGAAGAACATAGTGATGAACGGCACAATATTGGAGAGGCCAACTTCACCGCTCGCAGGTTCGGATCAGCAAAATGGCAAGGAGTTTTTGACTAGTCCAAAGAACAAAAGGACCCGCGATGAGTTCCTTTTAGACCAAGAGAAAGCGTCTAAAGCAGAGAATGAACACCAACCCACATCTCATCAATCGCCGTCAACTGAAGTGCAGAATGGTCTGACGGCTCAGGACAAGTCAACGCCTATCGAGGAACCGAAGACAAAGCGTCATCGGGACAGCAACAGCCCGCAACCTGCTGTAGAACAAGAAAAATCTACCGTAGCTAAGGTAAAACGCAGTTTACGCTTCTCTCTACGTAGTTGCAAATTAACTTTGATCAGATTCCTCCTACCAGCGGCTTTGCAAACACTTCGGCCAACTCTCCCTTTAGTGCCTTAGCAGGCAGAAAATCACCCTCCGCATCATCTCAAACTTCCGAAAGCGCGTTCAAAGCATCAAGCTTCGGTGCGCTTGCGGGTTCTTCGACATCAGGATTCGGTGCTCTTGGCAGCTCGACAGGCGGCACCACCCCCTTCGGTGGGGTTGCCGCAAGCAACAAGGCGACTTCAGGTTTCGGCGCTGCCGCGCCAGCCGCCTCTTCTGCTGGTTCAGGGTTTGGTGGCCTCCTCGGAAGTGCCAAACCGTCTTTCGCGAGTGCCAGTACGGGTGCATCCGGCTTCGGTTCACTTGCCGGTGGACTGGGAGGTGGCTTCGGAGGTGTTTCTGGCGGCGGATTGAGCAGCTTCGCGGCTCCGGGTGCGTCTAGCATCGTTGGTCTTAGCGACAAGCCTGCTAGGCCCTTCGGAGCTGCTGCGGATGACGATGAAGAAGAAGATGGAGAAGCTGGTCATGATGAAGAAGACACCGTCAGGAGTCCCCGCACAGATGAAGACGAAGGAAAGGATCGGCGTTTCTATGAACAAGACGGTAAGTACTGCGCCTATCCAGACCGTCTTGGCGGTCCTCTTCTATGTACCGCAGGCACGCTGACACGCTCGAAGTCGAGACGGGCGAGGAGAACGAGCGAGTTCTCTTCAGTTGCCGCGCCAAGCTCTACAACTTCGTCAATGCCTCCGACAGCTCTGATAAGAAGGAATGGAAAGAGCGCGGTCAGGGCACATTGCGACTGAACGTTCAAGAGCCACCGCCAGAAGAAAACCAGAATGGAGAAAAGCCACGGAAGGCGCGATTTGTTATGCGCGCTGATGGTTCTCACCGTGTAGTGCTCAACACGCCTGTGAAGAAGGAGCTGAAGGTTGGAGACTTTAAGGGCGATAAACCCACAGGACAATACGTCATGTTCTGGGGCAGTCATGGCGGAGCAAACTTAGAATTGATGCAGCTCAAGGTTAATGTTCCCTCGCATCCAACTGGATTTGTGTTAACGCTCTGTAGATGAAGACATCGAATGCGGAAGAGTTATGGCGCGTTGTCACGCAGCTGCAGGAAGAGATTTGAGGATGCGGACATCACCCCATCGGTTGGTCTGGGATCTCTTCAAATGCGCAGTTTAGGCGAGCAGTATTAATTGCGCCGAACGTTGTTGCTCCAATGCAACAAAGCAGTCGCGCGGTACATCGGGGTCGCATATTTCACTTTGCATATGTCTGCATTTCGTTTCCGAACAGCCCCGTTTCCTTCGGGAAACTCAACTCCAAAGATTTTGGGCTCTATCGACTCGATGAACGGTTCCGAGTGCGGATGTATGCGAGATATCTTTTGCATGCGCGGTTATTGGACGGGCTGTGAGCATACGGAACATACAAGGGCACGCGCAAGGCTTGTATTTTATTATTCTCAATGCATTGGTACGAGAAGACTAGCACGGTAGTTAGCCAGGCTCACTTGCGCCCTTACTCTGCATCGCTTAGGACCTAATCATGGGGGTCAGGACTTCTAGCAGACCGCTAAGATGCGAGAAGCGGGTAAGGAATACTGTACTAACAACCACAAAGGAGCGGGATCTATATTACTCTTGCTTCTTGCCAAGCCACCCGACTAGGCGGGCCTTGCGCTACCTATCCTCGTATCACCACTTCTCCTTATAGAGTAACGTTCCAGCCGCCCCTATTACCGCCGGCTAGTGCCAGCTTAGCGCTAACTTATCCGCACTAACGCGCCCTATATGTAAAGTAACTCTAACTCTCTAAAATTCCTTCCTTCTTTAATAATAACTTTAATAATACTAGATATATATATTATAATAGATCTATATTATTTTAGACTATACTTGCGGCTATACTAATAAATATAATACTATAGTATTATTATTAATAATAAGATACTACTAAAGTAAACTTATTTCTACTTATATAAATCTTATTATTAATATTATAATTATATCGCGACTTTATATAATATATCTTATTTTCTATAAGCTTTTACATAACTTCTATCTTTCTCTCTATATTTATCGCCTTTATATAAATCGATGTATTAGTAAGTATATCTTAATATTATTATTTGTTATATTATTTAGTTTTATATTAAAGTGAAGCTATAAATAGAGATAATCTTAATATTACTAAGATATACTTGCTAATTACTTATTATAATAGTAACTTTTAATTCTTTAGTATTCTTACTTATATTAAGATTTACTTACTAATTTTCTTATTTTCTTCTAGATTAACTACTATTTAGAATAAAAAGACTAAGTAGAAGATACGCTAGACTATAGATATAAAGACAATAAAAGTAAATATAAACTTTCATTATTTTAAGCTTTCTAATATTCATAGGCTAAGTAGAAAGAAAGCCTTAAAATATATTTTTAGTAAAAATAATTTCCTAGCTTTAAGATTTTAAGATTAATAATATTTTCTAGTATAAAGTTCTAGGGCTATAAGAATAAGCTCCCCTATTACTATAACTACTATGTCTCTAATACTCTAAGTCTACCTACTATTACTTATTTTTATTAAGAATTTATACTTATTTCTTGTTTTTTTTAGACTATACTAAAGGGTGATTAGGTTATTAATAATACTAAGAAGTAGGAGTTATTACTATATAGCTATAACCTTAAGATATTTCTTTTATTTATACTAAGCTTATAGCGTAAGAAGCTTATAATTATTATAGAGTTCTCTATTTACAATATAGTATATTAAAAAGAAACTCTAAAAGATAAGTGTATTATTACTTTTAAGTTTAGTATTCTTAAGATATCTCTTAATATTTCTTTTAGAGTAATAAAAAGCTTTC